CACACACCCCCACCCCACTGTTTCAAAAACAAACAATCCCCTCGTTCCTTATCGTTCGCCAAAAAAACGTTTCCCACGAATAAATGCAATCATCAGGTGAACCCTTATATTCTGCCTGAATAGCATCCAACCCAACGCCAAGCCGGCAGGAAGAGGGGGATAAGGGAAGGGAACTTAACAGAGCAAGGATCAATGTGGTATAGTATGTATAATGACCTACAAATAGACGTTCGAGAAGCCCAACACAAAAGACATGTACAAGTTCCGCCTTCCCGTTCGGGGCTTTTTTTTTTAACAAACCAATGCACACACACAGTGCTTCCAGAAACAATCGGGAAGGTGGAGCATGTACTTTAGCCTCATTTTTGTCTCTTCCCTTGTCCCTCCGGTTTCTGCAGCCGGAAAAATAGGGAAAAAATTTATATTTCTAGCGAGGGTTGTCAAAAAGCTCGGACGGTAAGATGTGACGGACGGGAAGAAATGTTCATGGGCAGCTCGGCAGATGTAATTTGTTCCGTTGTCTGCTTCGGTTGGCAAATAATTAAAGAAGTCTGTCAGGATCTTCCCGCTGGTACATGGCCCGCTTCGGGGGTCTCGAAGGGGCGACTGCTTGTTTGAGATTTGGCATGTGAATCCTTAAGACCAAGGCCTCGTGAACCTACTCCTTGCCTAGACGCCAACACCAGCTGCCGGTCCGCCTCGAGGCGGCGCACAGGCACAGGGAGCAATTTTAGGTACCCATTACCCTTGCTTGTCAAAGCGCAACAGCAGCTAGGGATGCTCGGAGCCGCCCTTCTCACGTAGCGTAGATCGACGGCTTTTGTCAACCCTACGTACCTACAGAGCCTCCATGGAGAATTCAGATGCTTTGCCGACGTACGTATAACACGATGTCTTGCATTGGCTCTTATGCGACGTCAATGTAGCGCTGACCCGATGCTTCCGCCACCTCCTAGCCGACGTATGAGAGATGCGTACACGAGCTAGGAGATCCCTCTCTGCCAAGTTTGTTCATTCGAACAACCGCACTCGCGTGACAAATGTTGGTCCAAATGCAGCCACACGGCGTAGCAGGAAGGTCCAACCGGCTGTGTCGTACGGCGTCCACTCCTTCGAATGTAATACGCTCAATAGGGCAATCGATTAGTAGACATTCGGTACATTGCCGCAAAAAGCAATACTTGTCGACTCGGCTTCCAATACCGCCTTTGTGTCCCATACAAGAAGACCCTTGCACTGGCTCAGCTGTGCCGTCCGAGTACGCGCGGGGTATCTTAGTGTGCATCGAAGAAAGGTAAAAGCAAATTAGCTTTGCAAGCGTCGGTGGCACAGCAAACACTGATGGTGTGCTAAAGCAGCGTTGGCAAGCTCCGTAAGAATATTGGTTGTCCTATCGAGGTTGACTCGGTCGGCCACTGCCACGTGCGGTACCTTGGAAATGTAACGTAGATTGCCTTGATACAAATGCATACATACACCGACTTGTACTGTAGGGTCGATGGAGGGGGTCCTTGTACATTGTTGCAGCGTCGGAAGAAGGCGCATTGGCAACGAGCATGTACTTCCATCTGTAGTGATATGTGCGCAAAAAAGCTTCATTGGATTCCAAGTACAAATGCGAGCCGTACGTGAATTTCCACGGGGGATCTGTGCTGTTTCAGCCTAGTGAAGGTGTAATTGATCAAATCTAGTAGAGTTGCGTGGTTGCGTGTTATCAGTCGGAGGGCACGGCTGCTGCTTCGTATGTTGTACGCTAGTACTCTAGAGTGGAAGCTTTGAGCAGCGGAACACCATCCATCCTTGGGAAGGGACACAGCCATCAGCTTCATGGACAAGAAGCAGACAGGAGCGCCTTGACAAACACGGCGTACCTGCAGACTGGTCTCCTGCATTGTCACTGGTGTGTAAATCTGGGCTCGGTTGTCATCCGACGGACAATATACCCATTTCATTTAGGTCGATATTAACGTCCGTGTCGATCCAAGCTTATTGGGAGTTAGTAGTGCTTGTACGATTTGACACATCAAAGCACGGGACAAGTAGCATTAAGTAAGTATGTAGAAGTTTGTGCTAGATTAGTGTCATATCAGTGCCGAGGGCCGATCTTTCATGTGCGTGGAACCGTTGGCGAACATTGCGATGTAAAAGGGAAAGCAGCAGGGGTTGATGTGATGATGCTCGCACCGAGGCACGTAATGTACCTAGGCCCGTTATGATCTCGGATCTTTGCGGGCGGACCAGGTTCATGGATCGAAACTCTTGTGCCAATCTATTACCTGACAAGGGTCAGCGGAACGGCAGTGAGGTGGCCTGAGACCCCCGTTCAACCGTCAAGCGACATACCCTGGATTTGTTGAATGAAGGATTTTGGCTGCACAGTTAGTCCTAAGCATGTCCGCTGGTGATGCACTCTGGCGTAGGCCTAGGAATGTTTTGATTGAGCCAATACGGGTTTTATGGGAGCTGAAGGGCAAGCGAAGGGTACTTTGCTTGTTTGTATGTTCGTTGTGCTGGTCTTGCGCCTCAACAATGCAAGATGTTTAAATCAGGGCTCCAGAGGCTCCATGTTTAAGCGGAGAAGCAGACAAACTCAGTCTGCTCCGTTGTGGCAGAGTTGACAGTCAACGCAAGGGCGGAACATGCCAGGATTGACCTTGCGTGCGCTCGAAGAGACAGCGGCTCTCAAGACAGTGGATACGGGTGCGGCTACTGGCTCGTTTCAGCCACCAAAGTGGGCGGCATGATTGGGTAGATCCGAGTGGCGGCCGGAAAAGAGACTGGGCCGTCAATCTGCACGCCATACATGGTAAGTACAGGGCTTACCTTCTCTAGCGCTTCGACAGATTGATTGCAGTGCTCGTCCATCAAGGATGCGTGATCTGCAGTCAGGGGTGCAGCATCAAAATGACTTTATGCTGACGAAAGGACAACGACAGGTCGAATGTGCCGACCGTATGTGTGAGTGAGAGAGAGAATGGTGTACGGCCGAGAAGCCCAGCGTGCATGCAACATGGACAGGCGGGGGGGATGTGAGAGGGTGAGGAGGCGCCGCGTCAGTTCAGCCTGACAAGAAAAGACGCCGAGACGCATCAGGACTAGCGTCTAATACCCCGCCCCCGCCTTCCTCCTTCGGCGAACCCAGCCCAAAAAAATTGTTTGCACAGAATTATCGAGCAGACATCCAAACGCAGCGTACAGCAAATATGGCAGGCTTGGATGAAGATACCATAGACGACATCCTCTACCTTGCGCGCACAAATGAGGCGACTGAGCTCGATTCGTTTCTCTCCGAACTGTCAGCTAAAGCTAAGCAGTCCAAGGCCGAATTACTGACCGCGGCCATCGATCCGTATTCTAAGAACAGCGCACTGCACTATGCTGCTGCCAACGGCCACAATGGTACCTTCCTAGAGCCCTGATACTACACTGCCAAATCTGACCCACTGCCTAGACGTCATCAAGTTGCTCTTTTCGACCAGCACCGAGAAGCCTCGCCCAGAGTTTCTTAATGCAGTCAACGAAGCAGGCAACACCCCGCTTCACTGGGCAGCGCTGAATGGCCACCTTGAAAGCGTCAAACTTCTGATAAATTCAGGCGCCGACGTCACCATTGTCAATCGAGCAGGCCACGACGCCGTGTACGAGGCGGAAATTAACGACAAGAACGACGTAGTTGACTGGCTGCTCGGCGCCGTTGAAGAACTGGAAAAAGGCATCGGCCAGACTGGTGAGGGGTCGGCCGAAGAAAGTGCTGACGAGGATATGAGGGGTGCCAACATGGACAGTGCAGAGGGCGATAAGACATCCCCACAACAGACGGCAGTTGGGTCAGCGGTGGAGAATGCCCGGCAACAGATGGAGCACTTGAATACCCAGGATAGCATGACAAAGGATGGTTGAGCAGCCGAAAACCGTTGCCGGCAATCGATGTGCTTTGCTTGTAATCTATCGGCTTGCAAGGAAGCGTATATGCTGAGTATGACGGAACGCCGGTGCAGCAAGCCTATCGCTGCATGGTATGGTCTGCAGTTAGCACGACCGCGTCTGTGCCGCACATGATCAGAGTTGTGGTGCTAGTAGGGAGGGTTGAAGACCATGCATGCGGAAGATGGAAACAGAAAGAGAAAGAGAAAGAGAGAGAGAGAGAGACAGATTCTAGACCGAGGGCGTGGCAGACGGACTGTCATTGCATCCTACTCTAGGATAAGCACTACAGCGAACAAGACCGCTTTTCGGTCTTTGACATGAGTTGCAACCCGGGCCTCTTGCTCCTCCTAATGGCTCTATAGACACCTCTAGACCAAAGAATAAGGAATGGGATTGCCGTGATCTGTCATCACTTGTTCGAGCAGACGCTGAGAGCGTGGGCGTGCCCGTGCAGGATGTGTATCTTCGGTGGCGCGACGCTAAACAAACAACCTCAAACGTAGCGTGGGCTTTCTTGCAGGAAAAACGTGTCATATCCATGAATCAAAGGTACAAAGACCAAGCAAGTGTCAGGCCCTACCTGGGAAGATGGGTGCAACTTGATCACGTCAATGGCACTGCCCATGCCTAGGTCGCATTAGTGGACGTATTGACTTTGTCGTCTTTTTTTTCTTGCCTTACCGCCCATATGTTCAGTCGGAGCGGAGCCAGGCTTTGCGCTTCTCTTCTTTCTTCTCCTTGCGCCTCTCGTTGTATTCCTTGAGTTGCTTCTTGGAGAGAGTTTTTGCGCGGCGTTCTGCCTTGAGACTACGGCCATCGTGGCTGTTTGCAGCGGCATCTACGTCGAAAAAGGCATACATTTGCCTTTTGCTTTTGTTCTCGTCGTTGTGAAGCTCCGGTCCTTGGCCAGCTTGCTGGAACTTGCCAGTGAAGCGGTTAAATTGAGCAGTAGCGGAGTAGTCATGTCCCGCTCCATATGGTGCGTTGAGAGTGGCAGCGGCGGCGGCAGCAGCAGCCGCTTCTGCCTCCTCCTCTTCCTTCGTGGCTTCCCTGGCGTAGTCTGCGTTAGGATCGTAGCTGCCATGGATTGCGGGATTGTATCCACCCCACTTGCGGCGGGGAGGAGAGCTAGTTCCAGGCGCGCCAGCGGTTGAGGCTATGGCGGATGAGCTGCTGGCATAGTTTCTGTCGAGTTCACGTATTAGGCTAGGAAAGACAAACGAAGACGATGATAGTTAGCAAACCTGTCGTACGAGCCATATGTATACGTGGTAGCCTCTGGTACGCGGGGGTTCTCCCACTGCGAGACACCCGTCTTGCGGTTGTAAAAGTACCATGCGCCGGCGTTGTAGTCCCACTTGCTCTCCCAGCCATCGTCTTCAGCATCAGGAACGGGCTCGTCTGGGAGCGGAGGCGCGCTGTCGTCATAGGGAAGCGGAGCCTCAGCACCCGGCGCGTAGCTTCCGTCGCGGTTGGATGCAGCCACTTTGGCAGCCTCTGGGGTGGTGGAGCGGCCGTCACGGGGCGGCGTGGTAGCAGCAGCAGCAGCTGGCGGAGACTTGGGCGCCTCGTCCTTGTCGCCGTGCTCAGGGGCCATGGCGAGTGTTCACAGTGCGCTCAGGCGCGATCAAATAACCCGCCAAGTCAGAATATATGTATGCGTCATGCACGCTGTGGCGGCGAGGATGCGAGCAGGAAGGAGTAGCAGTAGTGGTGGTGGTGGTGTTGGTGTTGGTGTTGGTGTTGCGCATGCCACACTGGGTCACGGCTGCAGAGATTCGGGGCTCGCTTGGCACGCACCCGCTAGTCGCGTAAGCAAGCCGCTAGCGGGCATGTGACCAGGGCACTCACTCCCGGCGACGCTCGTGTGGATGCATGTACTACTAAGCGGACGTCCTATTCCCAGAGCAGAGCATTCTGCTGTCTGTACGTACCGTGCATGTACGTCCGCTCCTACTACTGCTGCTACCCCAGCATCGCCACTGACTCGCAAGCCGCCTCGCTTCGGGCCATACTCAACGGCGATCCGCCTGTGCCTGGCTTTGTCGGTGATGTCGGTCCTCTGCGTCCAAACGCCAGGGTGCGAGTGCGAGCGCGAGTGTCTCGTAGTCCTCACTCAGCATGTAGGCGTCATCACAGGCTGCGTGGGCCACGACACCCGTCCCTAGATCGACATTACAGCAGCCTCGCCCAGCTGGACGCCATGGATGGGCACGGCGTAGGCACGCCCACTGACGGAGCGGTACTCTGTGACAGCATGCTACCATGTGTCAAGCCACCAAGGGCTGCCTCCGGGGCTTGCTCTGCTTCTCTGCGCCGCCCCGCGCCCCAGCAAAGCCCGGCTTGGACGAAAGCGAGCCAGAGACGTCGAGCCGTTCGGGGCGGGTCACGATGGCTTCATGCAAGCAAAGCCAGAGGCGTTAGGGGGGATCCGGGATGCGCAGCAATCGAGATGGGCTCCATCGGCCGCTCAACGGCTGGTGTGAGGCCATTCCGATTGGCCTCAGCCGCCGCTTTAGCACGGCCACCGACGTCTCCTCCCCAGCTGACAGCACCAAGGCAGGCCAGCTTCTTCAAGTTTGCACGCCCATGGCCCGGCCCTGCTGGCGATACAGGGCCGGCCGCCGACACCCACTGGGCCTCGTCTTGCTTGCCCTTCTCGACCGACGGCCGCTCGTCTGCCTTTGCCTTGTCCTCGCCTGCAGCCAGTGCATCCTTTCCCGTGGCTGCGCTCCTTGGCTACATCTGCTCCTTGGCCCCAATCCACGCAGCCCCCATTGGGCAGAACCGCTCCAGAACCTAACGCCAGGTCCCAAACTTTGGCGGCAGAATAGCAAGGCCATGTTCACTGCATTCCGTTCCCATGCTGCATGATCTGCACAGGTCATTAGCGGTAGCTGCGGTTGGCCAGTGCTGTCTTGGTACGATCTGGGGCTCACATCGCCCACGCGCCATCCATAACTGCAGTAACGTGCATCCGTCTGCATCGCTCTCACCACGCTACCCTGTCCCCAGACGGTATCGACTCGATAGCTGCAGCCAATATTCCGGCTGGCTTGTCCACTACCCCCGGTTTGTCCTAGCATCTTCGGGTCTCAAACAGCGACGAGCTCCACGACCATGTCCCTGGCGGTCCGTCACTGCACGCCACTGGCATGATAGCTGGCCTATTTTGAAGCCGCGGTCGCTTCCCTTCGGAACCTCTTCTTACAAGGGCGTCCTGGTAAGCTCTTGACTGGCCGAGCACAGGTCCCGCTGTCGTCCGCCCACCTCCACTTCTGTTACCCGGTATTATCGTATTTATTGCTATTGTCCTTTGCCTTCGCGACCAGGCAGTCCAAGCATTGTCCGCTGCGTGCTCGGTGTCGATTGCGCTCACAAGGTGCCTGCGCCGCATGTCATAAACCCTGCGGCTGTAAGTTCGTCCCGTCTTGCCCCTACATACCCTTCTCCCATGCACTGGCTGCCTTTATGTTTCGGTTGTAATTCATAACAAGCCGGAGAAAGCTGTGCTTCGTCCCCAGGCGTCGACCCTGCACGGACTGGTGGTTCTTTTGGTATATTTCTTCCAGACTGCAATAGCCCGCAGCAAATATTCCGGTGCAGGCTAGCCCACGCGCAATCACTCTCTTGTTCGTTGGCAGCCTTTCCCATTTTGCCCCCTCCTATACCCTTGTACGCACGACCAGACGATCATTAGCTGATGCCCCATTTGCATCAGTGTCACAGCTCAGGCATTGCCTTTGTCTTTCGGGGGGTTCAGGTGGTTCCACGCTCCTGCTCTCCCAGAAACCTTCATGTGGCCGATTGAGAGGGTGCACCGTGGAGGTTATCCCGTTTCAATCGCCGAACATCACAATCTCCATCATCTACTATGCTCCTCAACATGAGTCGTCCGGCTCGTATACCCTCACACTCAGGTCCTCCACCGTCCTACGGTTCCTACCCGCCACATCATGCTTCAGCCTCTCGACCAGAAATCATTGCACCAGGCCATCCAGTTCGACCTGCTGACACAAGCGGCAACCAGAGCAATGCCCAGCAACTGCCCAGTCTCCGTACGCTCCTAGAGCCAGAACTGCTCGACAAGAAGTCCTCCGATCCACCACCATTGAGTGCGTCTGGCACTCAGCACCCGTATACACAAGGTGGACGCTACGGATCTTCCAGTCCGACGTTGAAACGGCGACATGAACACGATAGCCACTTCCATGGCTACCCAGAGCACAATGCCGTGGCTTCACAATCGCTCTATCACCATCGTCAGTCCCTTCCGGCCACAACCGCTACTCCATCTACTGCCTCTTCAACATCCAGCTCCGGATTCGGTATTGGCCGACTAGAGCTCCAACGCCGCGAAAGTTTTATCCATACTACGCAGCATGACTTGGCTGGCAACGGGCACCGGCAACTTTCTCTGGCGTCTGATTCGGCGGGCTCAATCATGGGCCAACAGGAACTAGGATTCGATCCGAGCAGGCCGGTGAGAATGCGACGACTAGATGGCACCTCACGCGCACCGATACAATCTTCCCGATGTGTTGGCCAGCGTGACATACCCGGCGAAGGTCTTTGTTACGTCTATGAAGATGGCACCTATTGCCGTGCCATTATAGATGGCGAGGCAGTCAACCCCTCGTGGGGCATCACCAAGGCAGGCAAACCTCGAAAACGCCTTGCACAGGCCTGCTTGACTTGTCGCGAGAAGAAGATTAAGTGTGAACCGGGGTATCCAAAATGCCACCAATGCGCAAAGTCGCAAAGAGTGTGTCGAGGGTAAGTGGCTTTTTTTTCTCGTTCAGACTATATCGTGTCTTTTTATTGTGGGGGAAGACAGCGCATTAACTTGGGAGCCGAAGCATTAAAGCGTGTATCACTTTGTTGACAAATGTTGACCCTCGGCAGTGGAATTAACCAGAACAATGTATCCGGCGAGACGTCTCCATCAGGCTCCGCTCCGCTATATAAACACCCATCGTCTGAAGTGCTTAGTCCTTCGGCGGCTACGGAGAGAGCCAGAGCGATTGGAGAGCCAAGTGAACCGCCCAAACCCGCCATTGATCCTTGGAACATCAGTACTCCGTATAGGCCACGGAAAATTCGATCAACTGCCATTGGGAACAAGAGAGACATGTCAGTACACTCGTACGACTCAGATTGGAGCGGCTCTGCAAACGAACAGGTCATGGAGGACTTTGGGCGCGGCTCGTACTCTGATCCCCTTGCGCTTCAATGGGAACAGGATCCTTTTGAAACTGATCCCAGGCTCACAATGGATTTGCTGGAGCTCTATTTTGGCCATGCTGGCCGCGCAACATACAGCATGTTTCCGCGTCGGGCGTTCCTTACGTGGGTGGAGACAAGCCGCGATAAGAATCAAGACCACTTGATGCTCCTCTATTCGATCCTGGCAATGGGATCCGCTTTTGCAACGGATCCAGAAAGAAGGTCGCTGGGCAAGAGATTTGTTTCTGTTGCTTCATATGCGGCTGAAAAACGCTTCGGGAAATTCAGTTTGCAGCTATGTCAGACGCGGTTGATGCTTGCGTTATATTTTTTCGCCAAAGGCAAGTCACAGGAGGCATGGGACTACTGCGGAGCTGGCCTACGAGCCATCAGCGCACTGAAGCTTAATACAGAAGATGGCATCAAAGATCTTATGGACAGTAATGCCAACCCCGACTACGGTTTCGACCGCCAGACTTTTGAAGAATGCTGCCGACGTACCTTCTGGTCTGGACTACTGATGGATGTAAGTTACGACATCATCAAGGACCCGGCACCCGTTGACTTTACATCCCCACAGCGATACAACGGCTTTTTTGGGGGGACTTTGTTTGTTTTCAGCATGGAAGACGCCTTTGTTCGGCTCCCATGTCTGGACGGGATGTACGAGTCATCGACTCCATCCGACGCGCCATTCTTTAGTGAAGAGCTTCTGAGTGGAAGAGGGGCACCTATCACCATCTTGGGTCCTATGGCACACCTGTGTCTGATTTCAACACTGTGGGGGGAGGTGCTGGCCTTCACTGGTCGAACTGCTCGGCGACCCGACGCTGGATATGAACGACATTACGAAACCTTCTACGCAAAGACTTATGAGAAGCTGGATGCCTGGCACGCCCTGCTTCCGGAAAATTTGCGTTATACCATGCAGAATCTCGATACGAGCATTATTGAAGGATATGCAGGTACCTTCATATCAATACATGCTCTGTATTGTGCAGCGACAATTCGACTGAACCGACACGTTCGCATCAATGCATTGCCAGCAGACAAAATATGCCGGAACCTCAAGCAGGCTTTCTTCATGGCCTCCAACTTCCTCTCCATGATGCACTCAGTAGCCAAGGTCAACCGTCAGCAACGCCTTCCAGCGGCCGCAGCATCCGAGTTTTTGTTTTCGACACCGTTCCCTGGTTATGCTCTCATGCTTTCTATTGATGTCCTCACCTCTGCAGGCCTCTTCTCGACTCTCCCAAAGTTGATTGAGACATTGAGCACTTCGCTTTCGTGCATCGATGAACTCGCAAGCTTTTGGTCATCGGCAAAAACACAACAGAAGACAGTGTCACATCGTATCAAGCAACTTACCGAAATGGCCGGTCAAGAAGGACAAAACGTCAGGAACAGCAGCCATGGAAACTTTTGGAGAACCACCAATAGTCTCCAGACTTCCTTTGCAAACGACGACGCGCTGTATAAAACTGATGACCAGCTGTTGTTTGGTGTTGTTGGTCAACTTACAAGCTAGTTGTCGCTCAGTAGTGCAAACTGATAGCGCGGCTAACACAGCTACCAGACACGCGTTGTCTTCTCGACATACGCAGCAAGTATAGAGGCATCATATGCTCGTAGCTTGCACCGGATCCTTGAGGTTTGGATAAAGCATAAATATGCTTCAGCCTAAAGCTTGCAGCTGTGACATCTCGGTCCCCGCATGTTTCATTCATGCATACTCTAGCGAATTACTTTTCTTGTATTTGGTTTGAAAACAAGTCTTCGAAATTGCGAGAAGCAGTGCGAACAAAGATTTGTCCCGGATGCGTATCTTGTCATCAAGCAATCATGATGACACTGTCTTTCTGCTGTTGTAATGTTCAGCTATTTTGTAATTGTACTGTTCTTTTGTACATTATTGGAGCATTTGGAAGGCGTTGTCACAGTTGGGTTTTGGATAGGACAAATGGGGTTCATGGTTCGAGCTCAGAATATGAATAGGCAACGACAAACTACGTATCAATCCGGTTCCCGGTCATCTACTAGTAGTGGTAGTATCACATAAGGCTTGTTTGTAGGAACACTGCAACACCATGACAATTCAAGCAACCAACAGGTCTGAACAGTTACAGCATCATGGGAACTTGACAGCGTCTACTCAAACCGAGGCCTGACCCATCGTTTGATTTACAAAAGGAGGTCACTGGTGGAAGTGAGGCCCATGCGAATCAAGGCATCCATCGGAAATACCCACGCTTGGGGCAAGGCAGCGTGATCAAGTCTACCTGTGGTATCACCTCGCACGGCACGTTTCTTCCCTTTGTTGCACCATGGCTTATGGGGACAGAAGCTAGTATCCGTACCTTGCACCTCGGGTGCTACCTAGCATGCTGGACTGTAACCAGCAACCAGAGAAGCAAGGTTGAACCATGTGGGGTTCCGCTCGGCCTAGCAAACCATGAGAGTACAGGTGAACGTGCTTTACAGCCTCTTTCAGGTCTCAGACTTTGGTCGAGTGTGTCAACAGCGCCAATATTTCACAGCTGACCCAGGTCCTCGTCACAAACTGACGCCAGCGCATGCGAGATTCGTCAACATTGACTGGACGCCTGTTGAATACGGGAGAGAGCTAAATGTCTGAATCAAGCGAGTAGACGATTATGACGACATGCACACATGTGCAAGTAGGTGTACCGTTTCGGTGCTCAGCCCGTGCATTGCGCCGTCGTGTGGCTTCGGCCATCATCATGTCTACCGGATGATCCCTGGACTAAGCGAGGAAACTACCGGGTTTTGGCCTGTGATGAGCGCGCGTTGCCATCCGACCTGCGCTCATTCGCTTAGACGTAGATCATGATAGAGGATGAAGATAGGGGGCCAAGGGCAAGTCTCCGATAGTACACCACTCCAACACCGTCCGGAGCGTGTCCGAGTCTTCTGACTTGCGCGGACTGTGCCGACGAGATAGCTTGACGGGGCCGGAACCAGAACGTTTGAAGACCATGTATGGCAATCATAGTACACGCGTTTCGGAATAGAGGCTCCACAGAAACCCGACGCTCGGGCATGATCAGTGGAACCCCGTCATCGACCACAGTTATTGATCCAAACTTAACGACAAGTCTACCTTGCTTTGATAGGCCTGAGTAAGGAATGTGAGTCAAGCTCGTTGTGAGAGCAAAAGCCCCTGAGCAAAAAATCGGTTTACCCACGAACGAAGGCGAGAAGGAACGCCTGAGCAAGCGCAAACATTGCGAACATGCTTTACTGACACCTTTTCTGCTTCCGTGGAGGTGTATGTAGTTCCCGAGATTTTGAGCAGGGAAAAAGGGCAAAAGCCAGCGGTACCGGGCCTATGTGCCGGCTCGGCAAACCTTCGATGCAACCATACCCACGATACGTAGCTGATCGTCGACGCCATTACCACCAAGCCAAAGAGAGAAAGAGAGAGAAAAGCAAACATTCGCATCACCCATGTCCATATCAAACCTTTTTGCTGCCCAAATGAAGAATCAAAGGGGGTACCCACCCCCCAATTTACCACCAACCCATGTTCTCCCTCCTTTCCCTCCCTTTCCTCTCAACCCACGCAAATCTTCCCCCCGTCCGTATCCCCGGTATCCCATTCCCCTCCGTCCAACAGCCTAGCCGCAAACACAAACATACCCGAACGCCAATCACGCCAAAAAAAAAACAGGGCAAACGAGGCTACCCAAACCTTTCTAACAACCCACACAATGCACACACACTAATAGCCCATACACGGAACATGCCACTAACCACCACCCTTTGCCCCTCCTTCCACAAAAAAAAGTTACCAAGTCCACAAGGTAGCGCCCAAAAAAACTCTAAATCCTCCCCGCGAATCCAAAGAAAGAGAGCAAAAAAAACAAGGCACTAAACCCACCGGACCGACCCTAAACGAAAACGTAACTTGTTTTCTCTTTTTTTTTTGTCATGTCTTGTTTTGTTTTTCTTTTGTTTTTCTTTACTTTTTTTTTTTTTAAAAAAAAAGTGTGAAGTAAGGTGTGCCTTTCCCACGGGACGCCCGCCTCGCCCCGCCCGCCCGACCGAGAAGGGAGGAGGGACGGTGAAAAAAAAGGGAGAAGAAAAAAAACACCCGGACGCGCGTGTGCCGGAGGTTTCCCAGTGTCGGGCGCTAAGGGGAAGTTGGACTTGCGGGAGATATATATGTATATATATATATATAAAGGGGGGGTGGGGTGATTGGAGTCTTCGGTTTGTACATATACGTGTGCGTGTACTTGGTGATGGGTTTGCGGGGGGAGCAGAAGAAGGAAGGTGCATGTGAGAAGTTGAACTTTTACGCTTCCATGCCCAAAGCTTTCTGTGACGACACTATTGATTCTGGGGACTGTGGGTGGGATGGCGGGGAGGGGAATTGCCGCGCGCTACGGTTTATGGATACGGTTATGTAGACTTATTGTGTATTGGAAAGATGGAGGATAGGATCTTTGGGGCTTAGGCCCTGTTTGTATATTGTGTGTTACTTCTATAGTAGGGGAAATTTCCCTTGTATCCCATCCCGTTTACCTCAGCCTAGAATAAAACATCACATGTGTATACATATGAATATACTTACAATACACAAAGGAGCGTACCGTAGTACCCGCGGGAATTCCGTCATGGAACCCGCGGGAAGCTTTTTCTCTTTTGTCCCCCTCCCCGCCCNGCCCCCCTTCCCCCCTCCCTTCCTCCCGCTTTACCGTCTACTCCCTAGCTGAGCTGGCTGGCTGAGCTGAGCTGAGCTGAGCTGGTTGATTGAGGTATCGCGCAACATACTGGATCAGGTATAGCTTCCTCCCCCTCCCTTCTTCTCTTCTTTCTGCTTCTCCCCTTTCTCCAATTCGTGCAATCGGAGTTACCGATTCAATCGGAGATGCCGACTCATCGGTAAGTTATGCCGGGTGTGGAGGAGAGCTGGGGTAGATTGGAGCGCTAAGAGGGTGGTTTTGCCACCTGGAGGGGGGGGGGGGGCTATTGGCGTTTGTGGGTACGCTTGTGCTTGCTAGGGGGGGTGGCTTGGGTTTTTGGTGGCTGTAGGATGAGAGGGGGATAGATGGTAAGGACAGATAGTTTTGACGTGTGTTGGGTTTTTGTAAACGGGTTAGATGGGGAAGGAAAGGGAGCCAGGGGCAGGGTAGTGAAACAATCCGACTGTCTATGACGTAGCCCAGTGCACTTTTGACAGAAAGTATTTTGCAAAGCGAAGGGTGGGAAGGGGGCGTTGTTTGTATACAATAGTGTAGGAAATGCTTGTAGGATGATGGATAATTAATCTGGTATCCCTTGACTTTTTTTCCCTCTGTTTGCTATATAGCGTATCAGATCAATTATAATGGAATATGTATAATGAAATAAAAAGGCAGTGAGTATGACACTGTTTAAACAAGGACATTCCCCTAGAATGACGTGAAAGCTTGGAAATTATAGATTGAAGAAGAAGTAGTAGATATTCCGGGCACATGAATGCAATCAAAAAAAACCCGAAACAATACAAAAAACATCAGGGCTACGAATCCCTGACATCTTATGTACTATCACGATATCTACAAGAAAGGAAAAGAGAAGTGGGTGTTTTCAGCCTTTCTATATCAAGTATACAAACCTTGTCTACACATTTCTCTCATGCAATAGAAAAGAGGAAGGGGAGATGCAGAGAAGACATGTACATAGCGCACAGTCATACATCACTTCAGGCCACGGACACAATATCAGACAGACTCAACAAGGTGAGGACATGGAGTATATAGATAGGCAAAGATACTAAGGTCTTCTAGTCCTTCACTCTGCTTTGACAAAGCATCATCCACATGGAACCAATCGTGTAACCAAGAGAGAAAGCCTGTATACAACAGCCTCAAATTACAGATTGTTATCCGCCTTGAACTTATCCCAAGCCTCATTCAGGGTAGCAAAGACCGCCGCACTAATCATCTTCTGCTCTGTAGTCGCGTCTTGAGAAATCTGTTGAAAAACACATTAGCAACTGTACATCCGTATTCAAAGTTAGGATCACAAAAAGACATACCTTGTCAGGGTGCACCTTGGCAATAGCCTTCATGTAGATAATCTTGACCTTGTTAGGCATAACCAAATCACCCATGTTGACCTTCTTCCATCCTGCATCCTCCCAGAGCACCTTATCCAGACTACCCAGTAAAGCACGTAGGTTATCCGCCTTTGTGCCTTTCCATGCGATGAGCTTGGCGTCAACTTGATCTGTTAGAGCAAACTTCTCGTCATCTGCGCGTTCTGCAGCAGCATTAGCGGCTTTCATGCGCTTTACGGCTTCCGAATCAGCTGTAGGACCGCCGCCGAGATCAGCCATGGCAGATGGTCTGGGGGCAGCTGGCTTGCGAGCTGGAGGCGGGCGTTTTGCTGCTACGGCAGGCGCGTTGCTGCCACCGCTCGCGGCCTTTTCACAGCGGTTACGGCCTGAGATTGCGACGGCGCCGCCTACACCGCTTTGGACGGCTTCTTTCCATACAGTATACGCGTCTGACCACTTCTCCATGCTCTCAAGAGCTTCTGCCTTGCGCATGAGTGCTTTACCGTAAAACTCCTTCATGTCCTTTTCTCCTTCTACGCCGCCCGTAGCAATCTTTTCGCCCTCGCCTTTTGATACTCCAATGATTGCCAGGGCAGCGTCTGCATCTGCAATCGCTGCTTTTGGATCACCGACCTTGATATTGGTAATTGCGCGGTTGCAGAGTACTACAATGGCTACGGGATGAGACTGGGGAAGAGGGCTGAGCGCAGAAGAATAGGCAGCATGTGCGGCTGAGTAGTCTCCACGCTTGAACGCTTCTGACCCCTTCTGCCGATCGGCTGATGATGAGCTGAGAGCAGAAGATGATACCGGGGGGATCTGTCGTGGAGGAGCTTTGGGTCTGGGTGGAGTTGGCGTGCGTGCTGGGCTTGGCTTTGTTGGATTCGGGGTTGCTTGAAGAAAGGGGTTCTTGGATTGAGGCGATACGGGTTGCCGTGAGGACTGCTTTGGCGCTGCAGGTTCCGCGGAGAAGAGGTCTACTTGCGGTTCTGGTTGAGGTGCGGCCTTTTTCCGACGTGCCGGGCTAACATATGCCTGAGGACCTTGCTCTTCCACCTCTTGACGAGTCAATCTGTTAGCTGGTCGCTTATCTAGAGCTGAAGGCTGTTGCCGCTGAGACGGTGATTGAGATGACACGCGATCAGGGTGGCTGCTTCGACTAGCTTCCTGCTCTCTCCGTTGTCGAACTGGCAACGGCTCAGCCTGCTGGCGCATCTCGCTCGTCCGAGAAGATTTAGAGGGTCGACCGCCAGCTTCCAACATCATTGCCTCGTCTGTAGCAGTTTGCATGCTGGATTGCTGTCTCCCTGAGCGGGTGTTGGCTTCGGCTGCTTGGGCGTCCCGCATCCACTTTGGCATGTTGGGGTCACCGTCTTGTTGAAAGTCAGCCATGGCCTTTTGTACTTGCTTCCGGCCCGTCTTCCAGAGAGAATTTGCAGACTTGAACAGGTTGTTGCCAATTTCTGAAGCCATTTGTGTCATGTCCTTTTCCTGGCCGTGTCCATCTTGCCTACGCGAGGTAGATCGACTCCGTGCCCCATCGTCTTGCATCCAAGCAGGGCGAGATCCACCTGCACGAGGTTCTCTTGACGAGTCTCGTGCGTTGGGTCTGCTGTTTGCTCGCCTCGGGCGGTCTTCAAAGTCTTCGTTTTCATGCCGCGATCGATCGCGGCTCTGTGTCTGTGTCTTTTGCTTTGCCTCAGCATGTGCCTGGTTCAGCAACCAGCCTACTGCAGCCTGGACGTCTAGGCCAGACTCGGTGGTAGCCAATGCGATAGCAGACTTTTCAGCCGGAAAGCCCATGTCCACCAGCTCAGCAACAGCCTTGTCGTGTGCGTTCTGGGGGCCTGGAGAAGAACGTAGGCTAGTCTCCGGGGCCGCTTGATTGGCCATTGACCTAGGCTCCTCTTTCTGCTGAAACTCCGAAACGGGCTTACCTAGCAGGCCTAGTATGTCGTCATCCGCATCGTTTGCCGGAGGGGGAGGTGCAGGTGAAGTCGACTTTTGCGCCATTTGCTTGAGCCCAAACATATCGTCGTCGTCGTCGTCGTCCATGAGCGCATTGTTACTAGTAGAGGGCTGTGGTAGCGGCGTCTGACCTCGGGAGACATTTGCGCCGTATGCAGGCGTGCTGCGACCGCTGTCCTGTGAAGGAACGGGAAAGTGGCTTGAGCGGTCTACGGGAGCGGCCGAATTGAAGGCTGCTAGTAGGTCGGCCTCATCATGAGAGGATACCTCGGGACGTCTCACGCTCGTATCCAGGCCTGCGAATGGTTTGTTGATAGTCTGTGACAGACGTGAATTCGTAAATGGGTTGTTTGAGACTCGAGGAGCTGCAATGGTGGCAGGCTCTGGCGTGCTCTTCCCACTTGCCAAGGTATCCCAGTGCTGGTTGTCGGCGGTGCCAAATGCATTATCCCATTGCTTCCGCTTTTCTGCCTCTAACCTTGCCTTTTCCTCCTGTATCTGCCTCTGTCGCTCTTGCAGCGAGAGGTTGCTGGTTGAATCCTTTGGTTTGCTTGAGGACACGAGACTCGCAAAGCTATCGTTGGCGGGGGTGGCTGGTTTCGAGGGCGCCTTGAACGGCTGGCTGGTGCCGATGCTTGCACCTAGGCCGGAGGGTTGGGCGGAGAGTGTAGAGAGGGGAGTCGATCGGCCGGAGAGCTGGGGCGTGGGGCTCTGGCGGAAAGGTGGGAGGGCGGCGGGGGAGTTTATAGCTGGCTTTTTGGCGGGCTGCGACCAGTCCAGGCCGGCCAGGTCGTCCATTGTGGTTGTGTTGGTAGTGCAGGTGTCTTATGGAATGTGCAAGGGAAACTTCATGGCATGATTGCGGGTTGGGCACATCACACGTCGTCAAAGGTGGCTGTCTTGCAGATGGTCGGGCGCGCTTGTTTGGGTCGCGCCACAGGTACCGCCGAGTCACGTGATAGCATGCAGGGTCTACGGCAGGGTCGACATGTCACGGCGAAAGCAGTGAAAACTACTGTCGGTTGAGCCACAGCCAAGCTGTGGCTGCAACGTGCTTGAGCGTTTATTTCGGAGGCAGCCACACAGCCAGTGTGGTCGGCAAAAGTTACCCTTGCCGGGGGTGGATGAAGTAAAAAAAGCACCTTTGCCAGTTCGCAGATGGACCTGTACGCGGCTCACCTGCTAGAGGGCGCATGATGCCGGATTGGGTAAGAAGGCAGGGCAGGGCAAGGAAAAAGCCGAGACGGGCGTCTAAAGAGGGTTGATTGACCGGCGCCAGGAACATGGTGACATGGTGGCACAGTTGGTTGGGGCTACTCCAACGAGGGACCTTGCAGCTGCAATGCAGAGTACGTACGTAGAGCACTATGCGGAAGTAGATGCATGGACGGATAAATGGACGAGTAGACAAAGGGCTGGCAGGTCTCGGGGCCACGACTGTCCGGTTAAGATTTGGTCAGTGTTGGCTTGCAACGAACCGCGACCGCGGAGATGGAGACTGGGGCACGCCCTGGCGCCGGTACAGGCGTGCCGGCAGGCAGAGAGCGCGACTGACTGATTCGGCTCGGAGGGCCAGGAGGGCCAGCAGCGTCGGGCCGAAAGCTGGCAAATTGACCACTAGTCAGTCGCGGGCCAGCATCCGGAGCCGCGAGCCAGCCGGGCGTGGAAGGAGCAACGGGCAGGACAGGAACAGGAAGAGAAGGGGCAGGACAGGAACAGGAAGAGAAGGAGCAGGACACGGGGAAGGAGGGAGGCGGCCTTGGAGCGCTGCCCGGGCAGCGTGGGCCCGTCTGGCTGCTGGCTGTGCACACCAAGCCGCCGTATTGTTGGGCTGGGGGCTACGGGGGCAGAGGCGGCCAGAGGGGACAGTCGCTGGTGCTGCGCTGGCGGATTTGCCGACCCGCGAACCCGCAGCCACGGTAGCAGAGTCGTGCCGCCCGCGTGTGGCCGATGGGTTGCATGTAGGTGATGGGATGCTGAGTAGTGGCACGCGCGCTAGGCCAAAGCGGTCGGCGGCCGGGCTCGACGTGCGAACACACGGCTTTACCACTCGGCGGCACTCGACGGCCACCCTGGAGCGAACGGTACATGGGCCAGGCACAAACGAGCGTGCCCATGTTCACATGCAGCCATGCAGCCGAGACCCTGCAGCGCCCCAGCGGCTCGTCGTTTCACCCTCGACGGGCGTGCCCACGGCAAAGAAGAAAAAAAAGCGAGCGTGCGGAAGCGTTGGACGCGGTGCCTGGCGCGCCGCTGGTCGAGCGCGGCCTCGAGCCTTTATTGCTGCCCCCGCTAGCGCAGAGCCACTGTGCCGTTCATTCGACCCGCGCGGCCAGCCAGGGGCGCCGCCAGCAGCCCGACGGCAGCGCCTGCGCCTATGCTTGCGGGCGGCACCACACACACACACATTGCATACTGACCTTCTTCTTCCACCAGGAGGCGACGCGTCCGCCTGCTGTCCTCACGCCCGCCTGCCCGCCGCCCAGAGCCGCACATGCTGGCTGCACCACTGCTCGACGACGACATCGCACTCTAGGCCTACCGCCGCCACCACCACCACGACTACCTCGACCCACGTGAGGATCCCCTTGCATTCCAAGCTCCACCGCTGCAGTCGCTTCCGGTTTCTTCGTCCAGGGATCTCCCGGTCCCGCCCAGCCAACAAGCGCGCCGATCGCCGTCTCTCGAGCATCCTCGACCACCTCTAACCACCTTCCTACTCCCCAGCAAACCTCCCCAGCCCTCCACCCGCCCGCGTTTCTCGTCCCTCGCCGTCGTGAGCCACCATGCGTCTATTCAATCGCAAGGGCTCAAAGCCCCAGGTTTCGCCCGGCTGCAGCCAGCCAAACAGTTCCAATGGCTCTCTGCGCTCCCCTGGTCCCACCCCAAACGGCTCCCGCCCGACCAGCTTTCCAGACGTGCCACTGCCAAAGGCCCCAGATCCATCGCTCGACCCGGCCGGCTACCTGCGCAGCATCTATGCAGTCCGTGAGCGCTCCCGCCTGGTGCTGGAAAAGGCAAAGAAGAACCAGCTCAAGCACTTCACCGTCGACATGAGCAAGTTTGGAGATGTCGCCAGCTTTGTAGTCTCCATTATCAAGGTGAGAGAGCGATGCTGTCCAAGCACGCCCGCCCCGCCCCGCCACGCTGCTCTAACTCGCTTTTCAGCGCGACTACGCTCCCGACTACGCATCCATCCCCCCGCACGGTAGATGGCAGCACTTTGACGTCGGTGGCCGCCCGCGAATCGACCAACTCATGGCCTCATGGCCCTCGACTGTCGACAACCAAGAGCGAACCCGCCGCCTACTTGATCTGTTTCTTGTTTCCGTCTTGCTCGATGCTGGCGCGGGAACAAAATGGCAGTACAAGAGCAAAGAGTCTGGCAAACTCTACCGCCGCAGCGAAGGCCTCGCCGTCGCCAGTCTGGAAATGTTCAAGGCCGGCACATTTAGCAGCGACCCCAAAGAGCCTTTCCAAGTCGACAGTGCCGGCCTGAAGAAGCTCGACGTTGCGACCGTAGCCCGTGGCCTCCAGGTGACTGCCTCGAACCCAATTGACGGTCTCGAGGGCCGCACTACTTTGCTTCTTCGCCTCGGTGAGGCCCTGCAGAACCAAGAAGTCTTTGGTCTTGAGGCTCGCCCAGGAAACATGCTTGGTATGCGCACGCGCGTGACATGATACGACAGGGCTGGCACTAACATTGCTAGACTACCTTCTCTCACATCCCACGACACAAGCGTCTTCTGTTCCCATTATTCCTCTGCCCACGCTTTGGAACACGCTCATGGACAGCCTCACTCCCATCTGGCCAGCATCAAGGACCCAAATCGACGGCGTACCCATGGGCGATGCATGGCCCTGTTCCGTCATGCCATCACATCCGACCCACCCGTGGGAAAACATTGTCCCACTTCACAAGCTCACTCAATGGCTCGCCTATTCGCTCATGGTACCCATGACCAGGCTACTCCACGTGCATTTTGCCGGCGCTGAACTCCTGACGGGACTGCCAGAGTACCGAAACGGAGGTCTCTTCATTGACGTTGGCCTCTTGACACTAAAGCCCGAAGACCAAGAGCGCGGACTGGCGCAATACCAGGAGAATGCTCAGCAAAAGGGCCAGCCCAGCATGGAAGTGGTTCCCATGTTCGCGGCCGACGACGACGTGATTGTGGAGTGGCGCGCGGCAACCGTTGGCCTTCTTGACGAGCTTTTAGCCGAGGTGAACAAGCTGTTGCGTTTGAGCGGGCCAGACAAATTGACCCTGGCCCAGATGCTGGAAGCGGGAAGTTGGAAGGTAAGTTTGCGCGGCACGCCAAACTAATCGGAGCTCTGCTGACTCGCACCACAGGGAGGTCGCGAAATTGCCGAAGTCTCGCGGCCCAACACTAAAGAACCGCCGATCATGATCCTCTCGGACGGCACTGTTTTCTAAGATACCCCTTTCTTCACCCGTTCCGCCTTTCTTTCGCTTCATTTTGATATCGACTGCGTGCAGCGGACACACGCTCCCGATCCAGAGGGTGTTGTTGCTCCCGCCCACGCCGCACTAAGGACCTTCTAATTCTGGCCCAAATGCATGGGACTTTATGATACACGATCTCGACGGTCGCATTTGGTGGCTCGGCTTTCTGTTGATATGTTTTGCTTCGTCACATCGGCTACGTGTACATTTTTTTGTTATTTTCTTCTTCTTCTTCATTTTCTTCAAGCCTTCAGTGCTCCGGGTCGCCTGGTCCCTTTTCTTGTAATATTTCGCCATTTACCGAGGAGCTTTTTTTGGGGGGAGGAGGACCGAATACAAAAAAAATTGGACAATTAGCTGAGGAGTAGAGCCGATTGAATTACAGCCAGTAGCTTTTGCGATTGTACAATTGATAAGATTACTCTTAATCTGCAAGCCATGTCGAATTTCGCAATCACGAACACGGGGTGCGTGACGTGCAGACCGTGCTTCCACGGGTGGTTTGTGTGTCTGCACACAGACATGGTTGTATACACGGCATTGAGTACTGTGCAGCCGCTCCGGCCACTGATGTTTCAATGCTGGTAATAGCACATACAAGGATGCCATCCAATAAGTCTCCACATGTGCGCGTACGTGCTGAAGATTGCGGAGAGCGGAATGTGCCCCACTGCCAAGCAGAGGGTAAGTGCAGCTTGCACGAGGTGCGCGTCAAAGCTCCACGCCCTCCCATGATCTGTTTACGATACGTCATCCTCAACACACAGCGGAAACATTCCACAGCCTCTACATCAGCGTCAACGACCCAGATTCTCGCCTACGCACCTTCACGATGAACTCAGTCAAGCGCCAGAAGCAGCGCAAAGTGCTGCTTATGGGCAAGAGTGGAGCCGGCAAGTCGTCGATGAGGAGTATCGTCTTCAGCAATTACGTTGCCAAAGATGTGCGCAGGCTGGGCGCGACTATCGATGTCGAGCATAGCAACATCAAGTTTATGGGCAACCTCATGCTCAATCTTTGGGACTGTGGAGGGTATGCTCACCGCCGCCTAGCGTCCGAGGCTGGCACATGCTGACGCCTCATAGTCAAGACGGCTTCGTCGAGAACTACCTCAACCAGTCGAGGAATCATGTCTTTGGCTCCGTTGCTGTTCTCATCTTTGTCTTTGATATCGAATCGCGCGAGTTTGCGGCCGATGTCGTCTCCTATTCAAACATTATCCGCGCCCTCCACGAATGCAGTCCCAGCGCAAAGGTCTTCTGCCTCATACACAAGATGGATCTCGTGCAAGCACGGCTGCGACAGGCCATGTTTGACGAGCGCGCAGAGTACATCCGGGAGGCTAGCGAGGGCTTCAAGGACACAGTCGAGTTCTTTGCAACGAGCATTTGGGACCAGAGCTTGTATAAAGCCTGGACTAAGATAATCTACTATCTGATCCCAAACGCCGGTACCATCGAGGCACTGCTAGAACAGCTTGCCGAGGTCATTGATGCAAGAGAACTGATACTGTATGAGCGGACGACTTGTCTCACGGTAGCCCATGTCACCAGACAGACTGAGGAGTCAAATCCTTTTACCGACCGGTTCGAACGCATCTCAAGTATCCTCAAGACACACAAGCAGAGCATGGCGTATGTGGCTAATCTTCCCTCCAAAGTTGGCTCTTGAAACCTTGCTTATATTTGACTGCAGGAAACACACCAACATCCCCGCTGGAAGCGCAAACTTTGCCGAAATGCAAATCAAAACTGGCCGCTTCATGTTCTTCATCACCCGCCTAACAGAAAACACCAATCTGGCCGTCGCTATTCCGCCTTCTGAGCAAGTCTTCAACGCCGCACGCGTCAACATTTTCCAAGTACGACCAAAGTTTGCTGAGCTGGACATTGCAGCTAAGCCCCGCCCACCGATCCAACAAGCGTTTGCTGGATCTGCGGATACCATGGGAGATGCCTCAGAGAGAAACAAGGGGAGAGAAACGGCGATGCACGGCTCTGGATACTAGGAAACACAAGACTGTCGTGACAATTGTAACAAGGTTGTATAACTGGAGCGTAGTCTGGTACGAAAGCCAGGGACAGCTGTCGATACCGGCTCACACAAGCAAGTGTACTAAAATCGAGAATGCACTGGGGCAAATTGTCAAAGCCTAGAATTTCAGGCAAGGCTATAACCCACCGAGAAAGCAAGCAACATTAGAGAAATGGTAGCCAAGAGAGAATCTTACGAGGCTATCCCTTTGCTGCTCATCATACGTTGCAAAGATGCTCGGGGTTTTTCAGGACGATAGTGTACAAGGTGTCAAGAGACGCAGTCTGGAGTCTGGTGGTTTCTCAGCAACGCCTTTTTCGGAGGGTTAAGCGGCGGCGCTAGAACAGTTCTTGGAAGTCGTTGCACCTGCAGCACTAAGACCAATACCCCCAGCGAAGGACCGATTAACGATGATGCAAGCTGCTTAGGTCAGTGATCGATACGGCAAGTACGAGAGGACGGCTCGGAGTTGCCGAATGCTAGGCGTATTATGGAATACCGCATGTACATACATGAGACATGAGAGCATTCGCCCTTTTCAGCCGTGCTATGTAAGAAACTAGACATCACATGACATCGCCCGTGAGGCTCATGTAATCAGTAAACTGAGCTTGAAACACGATTTATAAGTCCAAAGAGGGTGCCATGCAGGGAGCTGATCGCTTGCAGTTGACATTTGTAGCAGGCTACCGATCCCTATCTACACAATCTACTACTCAAAAGAAAAGAAAGACATGTCGCACAAAGGGCGCGCGTGCATGCAAGGCAAAGAGTTCTCGGCCTGTCATTGAATGCCTGAAAAGCTGTTGGTGGACCCTTGCTGCAAATCAAGCCCATTGAAGGGTTGACAAGACCCCAAGTACGAGAGGCCAAGCTAAAAATGCGGGGAAGTGCATGGCACAGTTGCAGCAACCCTTCTTCTTGTCTGACCGGTCTTTGGCTTCTTGATCAGACGCTTATGAGCAAGAAGAAGACTCTTGGGTACCTTGAGGGTGCGGTGCGCTGATATAAATGACTAGGTATCTTGGGGCCTCTTCGGTGCATTGAGACGTCCTTTTAGTGTGTAATGGAACATCTTTCTGCGCCGAAATATACTTACTGTCCGAGGCGCTCCTATCTCTATCTCTGTCTGTCTATGGGAGTGGGTGAGTAAGCTGATGGTTGGGTTGGCTGTTCCAGCATCTTGGAAGGCTGTGAATAAATGCATGCAAGTTCGATTTGAGGTTGCACTGCGCTCACGCTTTCCCGTGCTTGGCTGCCGTGCAACAATCTTGCCATGGCCCGATTGCCAGAGGCTTCCAAGATCGACGCTGAGCAAGGCCAAGACACCTGCAATCTAGGTCTCTCTGGGTATTGTATTCGTTTGTGAAATCCTTTTCGGGGCTGTTTTATCATCTTTTCTAATGTGGAAAGTTTGTTTGTTTTGCAATCTTGTTGCAACGCTCGCACTGGCCACTTGGAAATGCCGAAGCGTACGTAGTAGCATGCTCGTCAAAATGACATGGCTTTTGCTCTCGATCTCAACAACTCGACGCGGGACCAGGTCAGATTATCCGGACATGGGGGGAGTTTCGCAACTCCATCTTTAGCTGCGGACAACAAGACGAAAAAACCAGTAGCCAAGGCAACCCCAAGAATGAAAAAGTGAGCGCCAAGGCGCATACTCCACCTTACACTCTCAAGCCACCGACGTTGGATGCCCCAAGAATGAATGCAAGTGGTGCAGCCTTGGCTGTCCGCCCACCATACGATTGGCCAATTAAGTAGGATTGTACCGCGTGATGCGATCCAAAGCGAGAGTGAAGAATGTGACAGTAGGCAACGAGCAATGAAGCAAAGTGGGGAAAACGCATCTCCTTGACAAAGACTACTACGCAGAGTTGGGTACCTCGTGACAACCCCGACTTACAAAGAGCATAAAGGTGGTCATTGCTCAGAAGACTCGCATACCCCCCCGTCAGTTGTGTGCCCTTTAGGTATTAAGCAAACGCGGCCCCAGAAAACTTGGTCTGAATACTATACTTTCAAGTTCAATTGTTTCCGCATTCAACTGGTTTCACCATGGCGGAACCAGAGAAAGAGACTAAGATCGAGTAAGTGTCTTTGATACATCTCTTACTCTACTTGTACATGCTAACACATCTTGTAGGCCCATCGTCGACGAACACAAGGAAACCACCGAGCGCAAAGCCTCCGTCTTCGACGATGAGCAAAAGCGCCGTGAGAGCCTTGCGCGCCTAACAGCCAACATAGAGGGCGAGTAAGTTGCTAACAAAAAAAAACGACCCAAATATATCACCATCTACTTACATATCCATACCATTCTTCTTCTTCTTTTTTTCTGTCAAACTAACTCAACCCCCCAGAGTCCGCAACCCCCTCGTCGACATCCCCCGAGCCCAACTCCTCTCCAACGTCCACACCTTCGCCGTAGAGCACAACCTCGAAGACGTCGAGCCGCTCCTCATCAAAGGCGCGCTCGTCGCCCAATCCCCCGCCCTCTTCGAAGAACTCGAAGACCTCGACGACACGGACCGCAACTTTCTCCGCGAAGAGCTAACGCACCGCTTCAAGCTGCCGCGCATCTTGTACTTCACCATTATCCTAAACTCCATTGCCGCGGCGATTCAAGGCTGGGACCAAACGGGCTCGAATGGCGCAAACTTGACGTTTGGGCAAGCGCTGGGCATCCCGGATTCCGGGCCGGAATGCGAGGCGGCGGGGAATTGTGAGAAGAATGGGTGGATTATTGGGTTTGTGAATGCGTGTCCGTATATTGCTATTGCCGTGTTTTGTGCGTGGATTTCTGGTGAGTATTTTGTTACTTATCCCCCTCTCGAGGGGAAAAAAAAAGGAAGAACTGGAGTTGTAGTACCCTTTTTTTGGGGGGTTTTTTTGCGGACTAACATACGATAGATCCTGTCAATGATCTCTGCGGTCGTCGAGGTACTATTTTCATCGCTGCAGTCTTCTCGCTCTTGGCTCCGTTTGGAATGGGTCTCAGTCAGACATGGGGCCAGCTCGCCGTGTGTCGAGTACTCCTCGGTGTTGGAATGGGTCTGAAAGAAGTCACTGTTCCGGTCTTCTCAGCCGAGAACGTACCCGCTAGCGTTCGAGGCGGCCTTGTGATGTCCTGGCAGGTGTGTTTGAAAATCCAAAGCCCGAGTGAATCGATGGGTCCATCTAACAATCCCAACTAGATCTGGACGGCTTTTGGCATCTTTCTTGGTACGGTCGCCAATCTCGTTGTCATGGTAAGTCACGCCCATCGGACATGCATTCACTTTTGTCAACTCTTATGCTAACCCAAACCTTCCCCCCCAGAACACAGGGTCCATCTCTTGGCGTCTCCAGTTCGGCTCTGCTTTCATCCCAGCCGTGCCACTCGTCCTTGGCATCTACTTCGTCCCCGAGAGCCCTCGCTGGCTCATGAAAAAACGCAGATACGCTCAAGCCTACAAATCCTTCCTGCGTCTCCGTAACTCGCCGCTACAGGCTGCCCGCGACCTCTACTATACTCACTGCCTACTCGAACAAGAAGAGGTCCTGATCCGCGAGGCAGGAATCAACCCCAAGTCCAACTTCTTCACCCGCTTTATCGAGCTCTTTACTATCCCACGTGTACGCCGTGCAACGCAGGCATCGGGTATCGTTATGATAGGCCAACAGATGTGCGGTATAAACATCATAGCCTTTTACAGCTCGACAATCTTCGCAGAAGGCGGTGCTTCGAATAAAGAAGCCCTGATTGCCTCATTTGGCTTCGGACTGGTAAACTTCCTTTTCGCCTGGCCCGCAGTCTGGACAATCGACACTTTTGGGCGCCGTGGCTTGCTCCTAACCACTTTCCCCAACATGTTTTGGACGCTGCTTGTCGCGGGAATGTGCTACTACATCCCGAGAGACAGCCCGGCCCATCTTGGCCTCATCGCCTTCTTCGTCTACCTTTTCGGTGCGTTTTACAGCCCGGGAATGGGCCCTGTGCCCTTCACATACTCGGCAGAGGTATTCCCACTGTCCCACCGTGAAGTCGGCATGTCGTGGGCCGTTGCAACGAATAACTTTTGGGCGAGCATTTTGTCTCTTACCCTCCCACGCATGCTCAAAGTTATGAGACCACAGGGTGTATTTGGCTTTTATGCCGGACTCAACGTTGTTGCTCTTACTATGATGTAAGTCACCCCTGTCCTTGTTTTTTTTTTTTGCTTCACCTCTTCTACATTGCCAACTTGCGTTTGGATATTTGTTAACTCAAAAAAAAACAAAATAGTTTCCTCTGGCTCCCCGAAACCAAACAACGCACCCTTGAAGAACTCGATTACATATTCGGCGTCCCCACGCGCAAACACATGAAGTATCAAGCCGGCGAGAATCTTCCCTGGTGGTTCAAAACGTACATTCTGCGCAAAAAGGGGCTCGCTAAGCCTCAGCTTTATCGGTTTGCGGATCAGAAACCGCCGATTAGTGTTACGGCGCAGATTGGCTGGGCGTGGAATACGTATGTGCTAAGGAAGAAGGGGTTGGTGAAGCCGGGTGCATATGTGCAGCCTGTGCCGAGGGGAGAGAAGCAGGTGTAGGTGTGGGATTTGTGTGGTGGTTTTTTTGGTTAGAGAGGTGGCTGGTTGGGGTAATGGGTAGGAAGAGGTGGGAAGGGGGAGCATTAGGATGTTCGTATTCGATGCTTTAAACTGCATGAATCGCCTTGGAAAGTAATGGGGGTACCAGCAAATGGGGGGTACACATGTCGTTCTTTTTTATTTTCTTTTCTTTCAGGCTCTATACCCTTTTTTTTAACATAGCTGCTGGTAGCATGCTTTACTTTCCTTAATAATACTGCCGCTTTCACGGTTTTTTGAATTGGTGGAGTTTTTTTCTATGTTGTAGATGGTGATGTAAAGTGTGGACTGACAAGTACCTCTACATGTGTTTTTTCGACATTCAAATGTACATACGTATGGAGACGATGAATGCTGATGTCAGTTTAAGTGGTGATTACGTGGAAAGCGGCCGGGATGTGGCAGGGCTGGTTACATGGGTAAGATGGCTGCATGTGATTCGAAAAGTCAAGGGTGTTGTCCTTGTCGTGGTTGGTGTGAAAATATTCAGCGTCGTTTTACGACTTTTAATGCCATTGTTTTTATCTGATGCATGAGCTCCCTGTGCAGGTTGACAACAAATGATTCGTGGTTTTATCTGCTACGATAATGTATGCCAAAGTGCATGAGAGCTGGTGCAAGATAGTTTGGAACTACAAGGGACTAGTTATGTGCGATGGCATGACATGTTGATGGAACATTTAGATGTCTTATTCGTGTAACCATTTCACCATGTAGTTTCTTGAAAACGCTATATGCGAATACTAGGATATCTTGGCATTGAAGTGTCACTCCGGATCGGTGAGGATATGAATTAGAGAAAAGGACCTACTCTGCACATCTCCGTCCGCGCCGAACCGCTATAGTAAGCACTATTGCGGCTGCCACTCTCACATTCCACATGTCTTTGAAGGATGACTGCGACGGGTAATGTTCATACCTCGAGCCAGGAATAGTTTTTTGTATCGGAGCGTGTTCTTGATTAGGGCCTTGAAGGCAGTTTTCAAGAGCATCCAGAATCATCCATGGACACAGTGGAAAAACATTTGAAGATACTTAGTTTTGCACTTAATATATCTAGTCTGCAATTAACAAGATGATAATTTGATCGGCTAGAGATCAAACCATTTTCTGCCTGCCGTTACGCATACAGCAGAAGGCTTTGAACAGTTTTTTTTCTAAAAAAAAAAAGTTCAATTACCGTATATGAACAGCAGAGGAGAATTATTTTACATATCACGTGACGCTCAGATGTGTATGGCAACGCAATCAACCGTGAATTCCCTGGTGATACTGAACAACAGACATCCCCAGACTATCCGCTCAGCCAAGCCCCCATCTTGCATCACGATGGCTCCACAAAAACATCACGGTGTTACTAGATTGTTCCACTGACTCTTCTAGTAACTGTCAATCTCACATGCAGCAACGGCAGACACAAGCGCAACCGGCCATCAAACGGTGGTAAGACTGCGATAACAACGCCCAATTGAGTTAATACCTCGGCATTTCCACCGCTATCCAATCACAACCGTTTCCCCCACATCCGCCTAGCCCCGCGCATGTCAACGCTCATTCGGCCGCCGCAAGCAACCCCGTGTTTGGCAGTACTTGCGATGGGGTGACCGCTAACTGAGGCCATGCGGCTTTCGCATCCGTTGCACACAGTCCGGGGGTGTATATAGAAGGAGCTAGATCCTCAACACCCTCTTGTCTCACTTTCCGCTTGACTGATTTGCACATTATTACCTGCCTTGGCTTCTGGGCTGCCCCGGATCCGCTCTCGTGCCCCGCATTGTATTCCTGCTCATCATCTATATAAAGCCTATTAGCCCCGTCGCGTGTTGTGCGCCCAGTGACGTTTTCCCTTGCTTCCCATACAGGCTCTTTGGAAAAAAGCCAGCGATAAAGAAAAAGCGAATCGCATACATCCCACAATGGCGGTTTTCGACCTAAAGAAGAACCTCATCTTCGTACGTTCCCCCCAGGTCCAGATAGTAAATAATAGCTTCGCGCTGACAAGCAATCGAAAACAGTACGGCGCATACCATCGCGACCCCGCAAACGTCGCTATCCACATGGTCTGCGTCCCCATTCTCCTCGGTACAGGCTTCCTCTTCGTACGTTCCCCCAATCCCCATCAATCAACCCCAGACATCATCTAACCACCACTTCAGGGCACCAACACGCCCAGCCTCCCCATCCGCACACCCTCCCTCCTCACCCGCCTGCACCTCCCCCCAAACCTCGGCACACTAGCCGCCGCCACCTACTCAACCCTCTACCTAATCCTCTCCCCCAACCTCGCGGGCGCCACCATCACGCCCATCGTCCTCTCCCTCGCCTCGGCCTCAAACTACCTCATGTCGCGCTTCTCCAAGACAAAAGTCAACAGCATCGCCGTCGCCGTCCACGTCGTCAGCTGGATCCTGCAGTTTATCGGCCACGGCAAGTACGAGGGCAGGAAACCCGCACTGCTGGATAATCTCGTCCAGGCTCTGTTTTTAGCCCCGCTTTTTGTATGGTATGAGACGCTGTTTAAGCTGGGCTTTTATAAGCAGTTGAAGACGGAGGTCGAGGAGGGGGTTGAAGAGCAGGTGAGGAGGATGAGGGAGGTGGGGAAGGGGAAGGGGAAGGGGAAGAAGAAGCTTTTGGGGGATGAGGGAGAGGAGAGGGTGTATGGGACTGTTGGGGAGGAGTGAGTGGGGATGCGTTGGTAGTGATTGTTTTGGCTTTTTTTTTCTTTCTTTTGAGCGCTATTGAAGATTCTGGTTGGTTGGGGTTTGGGTGTACATAATGGTGTTTTGGCACTTGCTTGGATCAAGTTTGTTGCGGATTTAGCGAAATATCACCATGTCTTGCAGAAATATCAGAATTCAGTATCAATCAACTCCCCCTTTCTTCACCTTGAGTTCTAGCTTGGTGCTCAGAACATGTCAAGTTAGATTCTTTTAAAGTTAAATTGCAAATAAAATTTCTATACTACATTTACCATACGAGAGTTTTTTTTTTTCATTGAACATACGCATTCAAATCTTGTACATGGCCATGAATAAACCCAACACCATTTTTTCTCTTTTCAAATAAAGAAAAGATCCGACCACAAGATTCTCCAAGTTTCAATACTCCTCATCACTACTCTCCTCGTCATCAACCCTATACATGAAATACTGCACAAAAACGCCCGCATCAAGCAACAGCGTCCCAAAGCTTCCCAGCAACCAACTCATGTTCACTGCAATATACTTTGCATACTCTGCACGACCTTCGCTGCCATGGCACACGTGACCTCCACATTTGGGCTTGTACACCAAAATGCTAAGGACATACGTGAGGTTCCCGAGGCAAGCAAAGAGGAAGAAGAGCATGCTGATCCCTTCGGTGGACTTGCGGCGGTAGTTGAGCAGGAGTTGGGGCACGCGGGAGCCGAGATATAGCGCAGCGCAGACATAACCGGAGATTTGGCCCCAGAGGTTGAAGTGCAGGGTTGAGTCGGCTGGGGGATTCGAGTCTTTGGGGACGGTTGAGTTGCGCGCGCTGAGGTACCAACCGAAGACGCCGGCGGCGCAGACAAGGATTACGGTACCTGCGTTGAAGATAATCATTTGCAGGTTGGATTGTTGAGGCGGGGGGCTGGTTGCAATGGCGCTGTTGCTACGACCAGATGTGGGGTCATCGAGGAGCGGAGTGACGGGCGAAAGATGGGTCCCGTCGATGGAAAGATAGCGTTCGCGGAATGAGCTTTGCGAGTGGCCTGATCCGCGTCTTTCATAGTCTGATATCCTGGGCCGCTGGACTTCGATACCATTGCCGTGTTGGTTGTTATAAGGAGATCCGTTTGAGTGCGGTCTACGCTCGCCAAGGAGCGGAGACTGCTCGCTAGTTGTGCTATCAGAATCAGAATCAGACGTGGGCTTCTTGAAGTCGTCGCGTAGCGTGAAGCCCTTGTACCAGAAACACTGGAGGAGCAAAACAATGTCTGCGAGCGTGTAGTACACGGCCAGGATAATCATCGTGGGCAACACCCCTTGCAGCACGGCTCCTATGATGTTGAAGAAGTCGCCGAGAAGCCATATTACAATGAATACGACTGATAGTCCTTCTGCAGAGCTCCTCTTCCAGTTTTCAATGATTTGCGGTGAAAAGACGACTGTGATACGGATTAGCCGAGGTTCAACAAAAGATATGTACAGCGGCGACGTGATGCATGTCTGGTTACACGGGGTTCCTGTGACACAGAAGAACAACAGTACGTACCTATCCAGCATGCAATACTGATTGATCCAAAAATCTGACTAATGGCATCAATGTCAAGGCGCAACCCTTGGGTTGGAGGAAACATGTTTGCTATGACGTAAGCCAGCTGATTCCAAGCTCTTTCCAGTTCTCAACACCCAACGCGCTCTTCTGAGCCAAAATGGCTGAGTTGCGTACCCTCTCTGGTAGCACAGATTCGGTAAGACGTCGCGTAAAGATCCCAGTACGCCTTCTTTTGACTGTGTAGAAGCTTGTGGCGCAATATCGCGCAAGCTTCAGAAAAAGCGACGATAGCGCGTCAAAGTGGCTGCACGCCCCAGTCACGTTAGCATGTAGGTGTTTGAGATGTCCCGGGTAGATGGTGGGGATGTTGGCCTAGCAATGAAATGATGATGAAAGAGAGCACGAGATGAAGTCTAGAGTACAGTTTGGCCCGTCTGGATGACTGGCATTGGGAAAATCTCGGGCGAGTACGTAATCTGGGGTTTGCAGGGATGAGCTTCTGCAGGAACCGGAAGAGCCGCACACCTAAGCGAGACATGTTCACGCGGGCGAACAACGGCATTATTGGCATAACGATTCATTACATGGTCTTCATATCGATTACATACTTCGTCGACGTATTACATTTATTTATTTTTGAGTACGCATACACGGCTTCCAAAGACACTTGGGCGTTATTTAATTGTCGCCCTCCCAGAATACAGCTGCACCCTCCAGATCATCAACGTTCAACAAATCAACGCCCTCATCCCAAAGAATCCTCCAGACAGCATTTCTCGTACCAACAGGGTAATAAGGCTGGTTCCAGTACCTGGCCTTGATGCCCTTTCCATGGGCCACATCAAGCTGGCTCCTCAAAGTCTCCAGCTGCGTCTCGTTCATTTCGCGCCTGCGCACATCGCCAAAGGACGATGCAAAGTTGGTGGACGCAATTGGTGATTCATTCTCAGTCAAGTCCTTATACTCTGCGTCCTGGAGGTTTGCAAGTGGTGCATCGAAGAACACGTCGCGAGGGGATGCTGCAAGAACATCGGAAAGCTGGGTGTTTCCTGTTCCAATGACTGTGACGGGATTCCTGCGAAGTGTCTTGCCGTCGTAGGTGGTGAGCCAGTCTCCGCTTCGCAGAGGTTCCAAAGCCTTGAGGACGGCTGGCCAAGTCACGTCGGCAGAAGTCTTAAAGTCGATGAAGAAGTACAGTGTCTGGCCACTAGACGTGTCAAACACACCATTCTGCTCGCCTGGCTGGACAAAAGGCGTGCGTGGATTCTGGCGATGCAGAGTGTCAAGAATTGGGTTGATATAGAGAGACTCAAGAGTGCGCATGTCGCTCAAAGCAGCAGGCTCATGACCAACCTTTGAGCTGTTAGTCCGGGTGTTCAACGGAGACAGAGATTGCTCGGAATAGCACAAAACTTACATATAGTGTACCGTTGATAAGCCAGACATCCGCCTCGGTCGAGATGGCGCCGACACTCAATCCGGAATAGAACGGCACATCGCGCCAGTAGTCGTTGTGGCTATGGAAGGGCTTGGGCAGAATGTTTCTTGTGAAATCGGTAGGGTACTTGTACTTCTCACTCTTGTCGGTATTTTCCAAGATATTCTTGAGTGGAGTCTGCGGTCCATAGGGTGCCGCGCTGCAAAGGGCCGCCAAACTGGCGGTAAGAGCAAACGAGGAACGCATGACAGTAGCGACACAAGAACAACGAGAGGCGACGCGTGTACGATGAAACAGTCAGGGAGGAGCTCTCAGGATGAAAGAAAGAGGCTGCGAGAATGATTGAAGGGTACCTCGCAGTGGTTGATGAATGCTCGGGATTGACGCATATCGACGATGTCACTAGTGGGGAACGCGTGCATATCCGACCAATCCCATTGCTGCTGCTTGGCGCGTGGACAAGTGACGCGCTTCTGAAGGTTGCAGTTCGGTGGAGAGCGGGTGAAGGTACTTTTGTGCCTTACTCAATCCAGTATTGCGGATTCAATGCCGGTAGTGCTGAATTTTTTTTATTTGAAAGCAGTTTAACATGTCTGTGAGGAGGACTCCATGATGCGGGAGACGCAATGTTTTGGTCGTGGGCGGATCAACCCGGACAATCCTGCATGACCGAGGGATTGGACATGTGCGGGGAAGATCGCATGCAGCAACAGCAGACATGGGGGGGTTGTAATGCTTTGGGTATCCGTTGGGCAAAACTGCGTTGACAATACTGCGGTGCGGTGTTGAGGAAAGTCGGGTCGAATATACACCGAGCCAGAGCCGATAGCCGGGGAAGAACAGGTTCTCATCCAGGACCACGCAGACGGGAGCAAAAAACGTTGGATTCGGATGTGTCGGGGCCGGCGACAATTTCGGCCTGACGAGTTGTCAAGAGTGAAGCGTAATAGCCTTGTCTACATACCTGGTACGCTACTACAAGAAAAGGCGTTGCTTAAAACGCTCTCATGTCCGGTGTGCGCAGGCCTACAAGCATACATACTGCCGCGGCGCAACCCAAGCCAATAGTGTTTAGCTAGCAAAGGCTAAACACGGTGTAATAGAGGGATACGTGTTGTGTCTGCATACCGGATCCCCTCAAGGGGTACCTGGATACACCCCCCCCTCCATTACGCCTCCAAAAGCACGCCATCTCCACCGTTTCCACGTGTTTGCCATGCAAAACCCCAACCCAGCCCAGGACGGCACGTCGCTGAACCTACCTGTACCTATTGCCCAAGTGCCAGCCATACCCCGGGCGGCGACGGCGGTTTAACGGTGTTTCTGACCGGATTATCAGGTTTTTGAGATTCTACTGCAAGATACTAGTGCATTTGGAAACAGGGTCTGGCTAGTGGACCCTGGCTGGAGCGATTGGCGCTCAGCGTATCCGCTTGGGCATTTTGCTTGCCGCAGCTGCAAGCCCAACTTGCCCGTGTTGCCGTGGTCATGCGGAAATCAAGACCCTGCAGGCGATTTTCAACAACATGGCAATTTTTACATGGTTAATTGATGCAACCATAGGGGGCGGCGCCTGCATGGCGTGGCTTGGGACCGGTGGCCGAAAAAAGTCACATGGCATTTGCTATGGACATGTTGGCTCGACACACGCACAGCGCATACTGCTGTGCCGACAACGCGTACACGGCTCTACATGGTAAGCCTGCATGCAAATTCACACTGGGCCCTGAGGATTTTTGTTTGCCACGTCGTATATTGCGTGCACGTGTGGGCTGAAATGTGATTGGCAAGACATGGGAAGATGATTGGGCACGGGTCAAATGCGGAGAAAGATGGCAGACAAAGTAGTCTCTCACAAAGGAGACGCTGAATTGGTTCATTTAGACAAGGTATACGCTAAGTCGATCCAACACCGAACCGTGATGCCACTGGCAAAAGCCGAGTGTAAAGCAAAAAAAAACGCCAACCGCCCTCATGAATTGGATAGAAGATGTGAGCCTGGTCCATGCATAGCTGTAGAAAAATTGCGTCTCGGACGCCGACGTGAAAAATATCGTAAAATGATGAGTCTGAGACAGATTACGAGCTGGTGGAGCTGACGGATTCGTTGGAGCCTCCGCTTCGTCGGCGGGCAGAATCAGTTGCGGTGGTGAGTTGGCGCTTGGTGTGCTCGTGCATAATTCTGGTTGCGTGTTAGTGGGAGTTGAGGGGCCACGTGAGGGGTGAAGAGACGTACCTTTGGTATTCGCTCATGGCACGCTCGGGGTCGTTGAGGTCGAAGTTGTTGGCAAAGTTGTGTTGAGCGCTCATGGGCTCAGAGAAGCCCTCGGAGACGTAGACGGACTGACGGGTCTCGGTGATGGCGGACATTGTTGAGATGGGTGGAGATGGTTGTTTGGTGGTGGTGAAGTGTCCGAGGGCGGTAGACAGAGGGCAGATGTATGGTGAGAGTAGCAGGAGTGGTGGTTGAAGATGCGTAGATGGGCGGTGGTGACGAGGGAGTAGCAAGCAAGCGGGGTGCAAACTATATAGCAGCTGCTCGTATCTCGCAAACGCACGCACGCACGCACAGGGAGCAAAGTAGGGCGGACGGGACGAGAGAGTCCATCATGGCCACGCATGGCAATAGATCTGCCCATGACTATCGGCTCAGCACAGAGATCCACCCTCAGCATTGCGCCAGGCCGGGGTGGTGGAGGGGAACAGATCTACAGGGTCCTGCTGGCTGCGCGCTAGCCGGCTAAGAGAGCCAATCAGCGGCCACCGATTTCCACATCCCTGCTTGCCGCGGGCTGGCGGTGTCGGGATCAGGCCGTTGGCGATGATGTCGCCAATGACGGGCTCGTCGAGAGGCGGCGCTGAGAGACGGTGTCTAGGGGTCTGGCTTGCATTAGAGGCGACGACAGGGACTCGAGCCTGCCAAAGCCTGGCCATTCCCAGCCCGCCAGCGCCCTACCGCGTCTACTGACTGGCGTCGACAGCCGACTGTTGTTTTGCTTTGCTGCTCCGGACACTGGCCCGCCGAGCAGCAGGCCGCGCCCTCGCTTCTGCTAAGTGCTTGCGCAGTAACTAGCTTTGTTTCTTGTTGCCTGGCCAGCCCCTACTAGGGCCGACAGCGTAAAAAGCACAATGGCAAAGACGGTGTGTGCCCTCTCTCTCTGCTTGCTAGACAGAGAAGGTGTGTGGCCAATGACGCAGCGTCTGGGGCGGCAAATCTGTCCTGTGGCCCGCCGTCCCTCTCTGCTCCACGAGAGGCCCTCCATCGACGTCAGACCCGCCATCTGTTCTGCAGCCTCGAAACCAAATCCCGCGCAAAGACCCAGCAAAGCGGAAAAGGCACCCACCTCTGACAGTCGCAGTCCCTCGTAGGATGTGCCCACCCACGTCATTTTTCCTCGAGCACCCACAACAGATTGGCTGCCATGCCTGCACGGCTATGTATAAGCGGGTCTAGCGCCACCACGAACATGCAGGGTCTCGGGCGGCCGCACAGCCGTTGCGTTCGTTGACACCCTCCTCCCCACTGTTGCCGCACTCGCTGCATGTTCGTGGGCGGCATATCGTCACTTCTGACGTTTGTCCCGTTGTTTGTTTGCTCCTCTTCAGCTTCGAGTCTGTCGTTCCCCCATGCAGAGACTCTACAGTGCGGATTCATGCACCAGTCCGGACGCCGTTTGCCAACGACACAGGCACCACCATGATGAAGTAACGGAACCACAACGACGACGCTGACCACCATGCCCCGAGCCCTGTGCATGGTGTAGCCTATCTCCGTGCTACACGCTCTTCTCTAACCATCATCAAGACGATCCCTGCGTCTGACCCATGATGGCCGACTCGGTAACCGTCACTGCTTGCATGCCCTCGATGCAACCACAACCTCTACCTAACTCGCACCTAAATACCCAGGCCTGCCGACGACAAGCTCAGTCAAGCCTCAGTGAACGTGGCAGAAGAGTTGTGGCGCATGCTCTACTGCTCCGGAGCAGGCTCGTATGTACACAGACATGCCAAAAGCCAACAAACACCGATCCCTTGGCCAAATCCTCGATGCCGCTACCCAACGTCTAGACCGCATCCACGCACACGCATCGTCAATTCCACATTTCCCATTACCGTCTCTCTTTCCCATCTTCTGTTTCATCGCAAAGTCCCACCGAGTCTCGCCTCCATTTCCGGTGCAACTCGGGGCTAGCACCACACTTTACCGCTCGTGCCACAGGCACGTCATACCAAACCACCTTCAGCAGTGACGACCCATCTGGCCCCAACACCCTCTCCCCTTCCCGCTCGGGAAAGCGCGCTCACCCCGTCAACCAACCTGCCGTCCCGCGCGCTACTGCTCGGTTGATATGCTGCAAGGGGTGCGCATGTTTGTGATATTTGTGGACTATGATGCTGCTCGTGGCCTGACCGCCATCACCCATAAGAGCTAGACGTCTCTTCAAGCCCGGCTTGCGTCAGTCCGGCATCCACACCAAGTCCGTCGGCATCACCATCGGCACAGCTTGACGTTTTTGTTGTATCCACTCGACTTTTGCTCCCGTTGCTCCCCAACCCACGCAATGCCCTTTTGTCCCCGCAGCTGCACCAGCTGTGCTATTGCGCCATTTTGAATCCACTGTGATTGCCGCCGGCAAGCCGAGACTTTGTTGATCAAAAACTCTGACCACCATTTTCTCGGGCGTGATGTCATACTGCTTACCACCGTCTGTATAGCTAAACTGTGCAAAGGGAAATCTCGCCTGCAAACATACGGCTATTGAAAACGATCGACAGCAACCATGCCCACATCTGACACCCATTACACTCACCTGCAGCTCGTCATCAAGCGAGTTATCCGCCCCGCAACAGCCTCCACAATCCCCTCTGCCTCTCCCTTCTGTATGACATCGTTTTCCTCGCTTCTGCTTCGACGACGGGCGTGCCCGTCCCCCCCAATGACATAATCCCACATGTGCTGGGAACGGGAGTCGTGGTCACCCTGCTTGCATGCACATGGCGCTGCTGCACTACGGGACGGCGTTTTGCTAAGGATGATGCAAGCCACCCCTTTTTTTGTCTGTTTGTTGGTAATGCACCTCGCATGTGATTGCGTATTTGTACAGACCTAGTATGACGCATTTTGACCCAGGCAGTCGGTGCACCTTTGAATGTGCCCTCTTGCGGTTGTTCAAGTGTTTGCTTCCACTTATGCTGCTTGAAGTTCTACGTCTCCATCTAAGAGTGAGAGCTGTGGCCCTTGGATCTATTGATGGCTTGCTGTTGATTGGATGACATGGTAAGAAAAAGATGAGAAGGGGAACATGCTACAAGTGTGCATAGAGTAGTGGCAGAGATATTTTTCTAATGGTTACAAGTGCCACTGATACATGTCTGACGGAGATGGCTCCTCCTGTAACGCATGCAAAGATGTGTAATGCAACATACTACCGAAACCAACAAAAGTAAAACATTTAAAGCCCAAACTCATAATTACATTTACACCTCTCTTTTACAAGAAGCACAAGAAGAAAATTTCCCCCAAGTCTTATCCCACCCCCATCAAACACTTAGTACTAACCAGAACTCCCTCCCCCATCTCATTCACCCTACAACCCCAAAACAACATTACATCAACCTCACTACTACACACACACACACTCATACCATTCCTCAAACACTTCTCTCTCTCCAACACTCTACCCGCCACACCTGCCAAGTCCACCCCCACCACCCTCTTCATCAAGCAAAATCAAACAACCAAACAATCAACTCCCAATCTGCGCACTCAAGCCCATTACCACACAAACTACTCAATCAACTCAAAACGCACAACAGCGGGGTAAACCAACCACCAACCCGTAAAAACATTTCAACATCAGATAGATTAAAATTCATCACGAGGTAATACTTGACGCTAGCGCGAGCCAAGCCACACACGCCGAGCAAGAAAATCCGTCTGTGAAACAAGTTGAGTAAGAATGAGCAAGATGCAAAAAAGACCAAGTGGGCGCGAGAGATTGCATCAAGAGACTATACGGACGTAAGTGTCGAGTTGCGTAAACCCGAAACAAAGACATGTGAAGCACTAGTCTACACTTCAGTACTCGAGTGGAGAAACCTGGTAGTAGTAGATTGGTTTGATTACACAGGGCCTTGGATGCCCAAGGCATAAACAATGCCGTTCGTTCTTTACACTCCTTGACTAAAACACCAGGGTTTTTTGCTTCCCGTAGTTTAACCCTCTTGCCTTAGCGGCCAGTCTCGCGTTTCGACCCCAGGGGGGGACGCGGGGAAGGACCTGTCACACCGTCACACCGTCACACACATCACAGCCCCTAGCTTAGTTCTCCAGCCTTTGTTTCGTTTCACTTACCCTTCCCCCCTCGCCCTCTCTCCTCCTTCGCTTACCACCCCCAACCCTAACCCACATCTGCCCATCCCCCCCCCCCAACCTCCATATTACCCACCGTCTACGTCTACATACCACTCATGCGAAAAGAAAGTAAATGCAGTATAATTCTATAATTTCTATTAAACAAAAGAATATATATATATATAAGCTATGTACTTTAAAAAGGCGCAGTAGTACTGGTTATGCTACCCAGGGTTTGTTTACATGAGCATATTGTATATATGTAAAAGATGGGGGAAAAAAGATTTCTTGTCATTTGGTCGTATCGAAGAAAAAGAAAAAGAAAAGAAAAAGGACAAAAACATAAGGTATCAAACAAGCAACGTCCCCCCTACACACACACCGACGCGAAAATTCTCCCAGAGAATTTCGAATCGATAGAAACCAAAATAAAACAAAACAAGATGTTGTAATTGTTTGTGAGGGGTGATTTGTTTGTCAAGGTCGTGAAGAAGGTGTAAAAAAATCAAAAAAGCAAACGCAAGACAAAAAACGAGTTTGTTGATTTGGGGCCTCGCAAGCAAGGAAGACCATACGGATGAAATTTTTTTTCAGCAGATGAATTTCCATTTCTAAAAAAGATTTGTTTCTTTCCCTTGTGTTTATTACTCTCTTTCTTTTTTTCCCTTTCCATTCTCAAATGTTTTTCCCTTTGGAAGAAAAATCGCAAATAAACAAGAACGGGGTGGGGAATACATTTCGTCAGAGATTTATGGGTGGGAGGAAGAGAACAAATGGAAGGAAAGAGAGAACAAAAGAAAAAGATCCAAGAAGGAAGTTCAAAATCTTCTTAGTGCTTGCCAATGTTGCGACGGTGAGCGTGCGCATGGCGGCGGCGGAGAGGGTCGGTGACGTAGACCTCGACCTCCTTGATGGCGACAACGTAGACAACACCGTCCTTGGTGTAGGTAGTGGTGCTGACGATGCCGTCGTCGTCCTCATTGACGGCCTCCTTGGGAGGCTGGGCGGCGGGGGTGATCTCAGGGTAGCTGTTGTACTCAGCGGCAGGGGTAGGCTTCTCAACGACGTTGTCGACGGAGATGTCGCCAGCGCCCATTGAGCTAGCAGGGGCGTACGACTGGCTGGGCAGAGGAACGGAGGTGGGCGTGTCGTTGTCACCAGAGGAAGGAGGGTTAGACGAAGCGTACGCGGGTCCGTACTGGATGGGGTTGTTGCCGCAGAGAGCGCTGGCAGGGCCTTCGCAGTTGTCGTTGTCAAGGAATTTGGGGAGCTTGGCAACCTTGCACTGAGTTTGCTCCTGCTCAGACTGAAGACGACCAGCAAAGACGGGGCAGTCCTCGGTGCGACCAGAGAGGTTGGTGCAAGTGTCGACGGCAGATTGGAGGGTCTCAACGTCCCACCCCATCATGAAATCGGCGTGGTAACCGCAGCCTGGTTTTACGTTAGATGTGCTTCGAGGGGGGGTTTTTTTTTAGAAAAAAATCAATAAAAACACATACCAGTAGCGTCACCGTTTGACCAGACGAATTGACCAGGCACGCCATTAAAGGCGTACGTGTTCCAGATGGTCTCGTAGAAGAGGGTAGGCAGACGAACGGGGAACTCGTCGGGGCATGAGCCACCGTCAAGCTCGCTGGGATAGGCAACGTGGCTCTTGTGGTCAGGAGTATCGAGATCCCTTCCGTTCCAGCATGAGGCAAAGAGCATCTCGGCACGGATACCGTCGGTACACGTCTCGAGGAGCTCCCTGTCGGGGAAGGTGTGGCGGTAGCGCGAGGGCTCGGGAGGCTTGGCGTAGTTGAGGCAGTTCATGCCAATACTCTTTGCAGCAAGAGCACGCTGAGTCCTGTCCTTTGCGGTCCACGCGTAGAGTGGGGGGTCAGGCACGGGGAGAGTGAAGTTGCGCTGATGTGGGTCACCAGCAAGCATCATGAAGCCCTTGGGGAAAGCCTTGATGTTTTCGCCCTCGAGGAGGTAGTATGCGAGCATACCACCAACCTGTGGGACAAGCACAGTCGTGCCGTTCTCATAGACAAAGTGCAGGGACGGGGTCCAGTAGGCCGACTTGTCATCCGCGAACTGGGCAGAGGTGCACTCGGAGTTGCGGAGGTCGTCGTAGGTGGTTGAGGCGCCAAAGTCTGTTCGAGTGGTGTTAGCGAGTCATGTCAGAGTGGGAGTTGGTGTAGGGGGTTTGGACTCACTGTTTGCACCGTGGATGGTATGGGCGTGGGAAGAGGCGACTCCCCTGTCGACGATGGGATCAAGACGAGCAAGAGCAACGCGGCCTTGGGAAGGCATGCGCCAGAAGGCATCGGCAGAGCCGGCGAGCATGGCCGCCGCAGCGGAAAGAGAGGCGACAGACTTCATTGTTTGCTGGCACGAAGTGGCTTGGTAGTCGTGATGGGTTTATCGGCGTGGGTTCCGGGTAGCAAGGTAGATTAGAATATGGTCAACGGCCTGGGGCTTTCTGATCCGGCGCGATTGATGAAAAACAAGTATTGCAGACGCAAGAAATGAGTGTAGCGCTGTCGCGAAGACAGCAATGAGGGAGTGGTAGCGAGTGTTGGGGGGAGGGAGGGCGTCGGATGGGGAGAGAAGCCAAAGGAGTGACGAGCGAAGGAATGGACGCGACTAAGGGCAATAGAAAAAGAGCGAGGGAAATGGAGGCTAAGCAACACAAGCGGTCGTGATGCTGGGGGCCGTGCAGTGAAGACGCTTTTAGGGGAGATGAAGGAATGCTTTGAGTTAGCGAGAATGAAACTCGGACTAGCGGGCTAGCATGGGAGTCCCTGGCAGGACGCAAGCGGGCATGTGGTTGGCCCGTGGCGTCGTGAGCACCGGCGGCTAGCCCTAGGATAGTAAGATGAAACATGGCAGTAAGGGGATCTATGTCATGGATTGCGGCGAGGGGGCGCAGGTTGGCAGCCGGGTTCAACCAAACGGCGTTGAGCATGGCAGCATCATGGGCGGCCGTGGGTGGAGCCGCGAAGGCTTGGTAGTGGGTTGGCAGAGGGGCGAGGGGGGCCATGGTGGTGGTGGAGGGGATGGGGGATGGGGGAGATGGTTCCATGCTGAGGCAGACAGGGCAGCCTTCACCCTCGCTGCCTGGCGCCTCTGGCTTCTGCTTGACTATGCAGCCTGCGGGCTGGCGAACCACGCCGGCCCACCTATTTCATTTGCCAGAGGGCGCTGGCGTCGACGGTTGCGCCTAGCAAGAGTTATGACGGCGCAACCCATGGGCAGGCAGCGTGGCGCAATGTGTACAGACAGCCGGACCGGCAGTGTTTTGGCGGCAGAGGATTGGTCTGCCGCCGTCGGGACCTAACATGGTGGCCCAGCAGGCCGTGCGCGCCGGTGCTAGCTATCGCAATCTCCTCTCCTTTCCACTGCGCGCCCATCACAATCGCCCTGCGGCTGCGGCCAACGGCAGCCATGTCCAGCTCTCCGCCATGACTGCTCGACTTGGCTGTCCTGGGGGGCAAATTGGGCCGTCGCAGGCGCGCTGCCCGTCGCACCTGTGGTCAAGGTGCGGGTGCCGGGCTGGGGGGAACGGCCCATGTGTGTAGCGCCGTGTGTAAGCATGTATAGATTTGTACACGTCCAAGTAGCAGTAACTAATACATAGTAGTTAGTAGCATGCAAGTACTTGGGTACGAGCTGTCGGCCGGCTGCCGTGGTGTCGGTGAGGACGAGGTTCAGTTGGCATGGGAAAGCGGGGCGGGAGATTGCGCCAATCGACCCCAAGAAGACCTTACTGGCGCGGCAATACTGCGGTCAAGCGCTGACTTGCTCGCCCGACCTCTTGAGGCTACCTCTGCGTCGTCGTCGTCGTCGTCGTCGTCGTCGTCTTCGGCGGCGTCGTCATACGTACTTATTGACGACTACTGGGGACACGGCCATGTCGGCACGCTCCAGGGCGTCCTTGCGGGCTAGTGGGCTGCACGGCCTCTGCGTCTCTTTGCGCAGGGCCAGACGCAAATCTTGCTTGTTGTTTACTTGGGTACACGGTCAGAGACGGGAGCGGCAATGTGTGTACCTGTACTTACTTGCTGGCTTGGCTGTGTGCTTGGAGATGGATGCAATAGATAGTCGAGCGATGCATGGCTATAGCATCGCCCCTCGCCATGTCGGTGGCATGCAGCCTATGGGCGGGCCAAGTGCTGTTCCTGCAGTAGCGCAGCCATGCACCTCGGCTGGCTAAACCACGTCGTGCTGCCTGATTTGCCGGTGCTATTCTCGCCGCTTATGCACCCTCGATCCCTCTCACGCCTCTCCTGTCAGCACCCGCCCCGGCCATACGAACCCCCAGCCAACCAAGACTCGACAATCCTACTTACAACGAGATTACAACACGAACGCTTGCCCTGCTACTCTCCATCAGGTACACTTCATCTCTCGGCATCACCACGCCGGCCTCACCTCCACCGCTCTCTCATCACACCAGAGGCAACAGTCATCCCGTGGTCCACGCAGAAGCCCACAACCCGCCTCTTCCTCGCATCTCCCTCCAAAAGCTCGTCAAGACAGCGACATGGCGAGGGGTCCAACTCCCCTTCGCCCCTCACCTGCCACCACCTGCCAAAAACAACCCTCATTTCCATCCAAACCTGCTATTCCTGCCAACCGTCTCACACGGCACTCGTCTGACCAGCCCGTCTCCCCTCCCTCGCCTCCCCTGCCTACTAGATCCTCCTCCAACTCCTTTTTGCCCGTGCCCCATGCCCTTCTACATGCTCACTTACTCCTCCATACACCGCCCCGCACCCTCCTCTCACACAACCTAGTAATGCTCCTACTTGCACATTTGAATCGAACCCAACACCACGTGCCCATCGGGAGCTAGTTTCCTAGACCGTCGCTCTTCGCCTCACCAAACACCCTTTCAACCCCCTCGAATTTCATTCCTGCCCTTGTCTCTCTCCCGCCTTGCTCTCCCCGCCCCCCCACAACCCAATGAAAGCAACATTCTGGAACACTCAACGTTTGCAGTATCCACGGCTAAAGACACTGAAGAAAAATCGGTAGTCTGGAGTCGATCATGCCCCCCTACCCGTCCCACGCTCATGTGCGACACCCTCACACGTGCGCGCATGTGGCACGGGAAGAAGGAGGGGGGCGGAAAGGAGAGGCAAGTATCATCTTCTGCGCATCATCTCCCTGCCCTGGCTTCCTTTTTCATCCCGACGCTCTCTTGTGCACAATAGAAAAGAACAAGTCCCGAGACCCGAGCTAGTCCATCACTGCTAAGCCCGACGCCACGCGGGATGTGTTGGTGATCTACGTAGATAGGGTTTGGTGCCTGGCTTGGCTTTTTGGCGTCCGAGGAGTTTGTGCCAGCTGAATATGTAATCGTGTTTCAGTGAACCATTACACATACGCTTGGATTGATTGACTCACCTGGCTCCTGCTGGTTTATGTCTTGGCATCCATCTCGCACTAACACGGTATCATTACGTTGAGAGAACACGGCCTTGCAATATGCACCTATGCACCATCCTGTCTCCCCCAACGATAAGTATACTCCTAAAAAAGAAGCAAAAAAGCGGATCTTGCCCGCCGCTCGTCCGGCTGCGATAGCAATAGCGTCAATCGATAAAAAAAAACCCGCACGCACACACACAAACACACATATGTCTCGATTGCATTAACACCCTTTAGCCCGGGGGGTGGGATCCATGCCTGTCCTTACTTAGTATTATTGATTCTTTTTTTGGAACCCGGCCTACAAGGCGGCTTATGCGCGCGTTACCCTTCCCGCCCCCCCTAACATAGCAACATCAAACAGAAAAAAAATCCTATGAACCAAAATTAAGACCAACCAACAATCTGATACACATGTTTTAACCTCTTCCCCCCCCAAAAAAAATACCAGGTAAGTATACCGGTTAGAGAGGTGTCACCCCCCCTTCTTCCTGACGGCATACCTTCCCATGTTTCTCTCTCTCTCTCTCTCTCTCATTCGAAAACCCCACGGCGGCCCTTGCGAAGCCCCTAGACCTCGCTCTCAACACTAGAGGTACGTACGTGGCTCACCACTACCACAAGCCATGTGTGTGATCGCATATTGCCCTGAACGCACTCTTTTGCGCCGCAACCCGCCGCAATTCGCTACACATGGTCCTTCTCTGCATGCGCAGCTTGAATCTTTTTTTTTAAAAAAAAAACTCGCGTGACTTGTCTTTGTGTGTGTGAGAGTGAGTTTGCTTTCACGTTTTTTTTTCGCTCGAAACTTTTGCTGCAAAGCTGTTGTGTATGTGTCGTTGCGGGACGGGCGGGAGGAGCGTGTGTTACGAGGGGTAGTTGTTGATGTTGTTGTTTTAGGTAGTAAGAGAGTTTGCATGACACGTCATGTGGGTGATTGATGTTCTAGACTTTTTTTTTGTGTGTGTGCATTCTGGTAAGCTGGGGTTAGAGAGCACGACGGAAGAGAAGAAGAAGAAGAAGAAGATGCTGGTGACGTAGTGCGTGTAGTAAAAATCTAGTTCCATGTTACTAGGTGGATGCTGGGGACTGGGTTGTAGGTTATCTCACCAAATAGCAATGTAGCAGTTATAGTAATACATTTATGATATAGCAATGGATGGGTTTAATACACTAAGATCATCTATCCTTTGCTCTTACTACAATCTACACCAGCATACCCCATACATATTCCTTTTTCTTCGACCACCCTTCTTTCGCCACCCCTACCTGGATCCCCCCTCCCTTTCCCATTTCTCGAACCCCTCCCACACACACCCTCACCATCTTACTCCCCCCTACGCTTCCATATTTCCACCCTTCCCTTCTCTTAAAAGTTGAAGGCGAAAAGCGGATGTTATACTCTTTCTCTCCTCTCCTCTCTAAACCCCAACTAAGATTGTGAAAATCATAAGGCTTTCTTCGAGTGGGGATATAGCGGGTGCACGAGGAATGACAAGGAGGAATGATTGCGATTTCGCCCACGCTTTTCGCTAGATTTGATGCGTTTTCTTCTTCATTTATGTCCCTGGAAGACGGTGCTGAGGGGAATGACTGCATACTTCTTGTACATCTGTCTAGCCTTGTGCTGACCTGGAGTTTGTTAGTGCAAAGGTAAGTGATGTATGGCAAGAAGATGCTTCAAGGTATTGGAAACATCCTTGACATGCCCGTCATGTCCAGTATTTATGGTATACAATATTCTTTAATAAAAAAACTATGCAGACCTATACTCTGACAACAATTCCCTGATTGACTCGTAAACACCCACGCTATGCTACGTCATAAAATAATACAGTCATCTCAACCCGTCCCACAAAACTTCACAAGTTCTTTGCGCCTGTCCGTCCACCAGGTCTAGTACTTCTTCGCCTCCATACCCTCTGGCGGCTCGGGTACCACTTTCCTGTTACCGACATTGCTCCAATCGGTACTCAGCACTGTGCCACCGCTCTCCGAGTAACTCTTCATCATAGCACGCTGTTGCTCGGGCGTAGCTCCGCTGTACAGCTGCTTGAAAAAGTGCGATGTCTCGTCCCCTTCAATTTCGTCCTTGTCATCGAGATCATTGACCACCACCTTGTCCCAGTTCTTTGCGCCTGATTTAGACGATGTAGGATATGCGGGGGCGGTTTCCTTTACAGGGGCGCCAGAAGAAGATGCTTGTGACGTTACAGTGGCCGCTTCGCCCTGTGCACGCTCGAGGCTATGCCATTTCACACCTGGTGCTGCCTTTCGGAGCGTCACCTCAATCTTGGTGGGCGTTATTCGGTATTTGGATTGCGAGGGATCGATGGATGCAAAGAGAGGATCGGCGTTGTAGCTGTATTCGGACGACGAATCGGCAATGGGGAAAGAGACGGAGACAGCGTCTTGTTCAATCTCTACAACGGCTTTGTCTTTAGGCACGCCCTTGGCCATGATGTTCAGAGTGACGCTATCGTGGGACTGGTACCAGTCCGTCTTGATCTTTTCTTTGGGCGTCGGCGCGGGAGGCTTCGGCGCCTGGGTTGTTGCCGAGTCTGCGGTTTTGGCCGGGGCGGTGGCTGTGGTTGCACTGGGTATTTCCACCTCCGGGTCCTCCTTAATAGTGACTGTCCTCTGCTCATCATTCTCCGGCACATCTTTCAACTTGGATGCGACCTTGGCTTCCCAAATTGGCAACATTTTGTCCTTTTCGTCAAGGCCTTTTACTATGCGCAGGAGAAAGTCAGCATCCGCATATTTGCCAAGGTGGTAGAGTGCAACGGCGCGTCGAAACTGGGCGTCTTTGATGAGCTCGCGTGAGCCGCGCTTTTTGGCAAGGACAACTGCGACGTCGGCATCGTGAAGGGCTTCGGGGAACTTGGAGGTACGCTGATAGGCTGTCGAGCGGCCGATGTAGTATTTGACGGCCGTCGGATTGACACCAAGAGCCTTGGTGTAATGCTCAATGGCTTCGTCGGGTTTGCTTGCGCTGAGAGCAGCGTCACCTTTGCGGGCGTCGTCCATTGGGGCAGAATTGCAAGCAGTAGAGAAGAAGAAGAAGATCAGTCAGAATGGTGCGCAAACTCTGTCAAACGTATTTTCTCAGTGTGGTGACAGAGATGCACCAAGATTGGCGGCTAGGTGGTGTAGAAAGCGCCATCGCAAGCGTAGAAGCTTCCATGGGCTGCCTTTCCCGAACAAGGGTCCCAATATCCCAACGCCGCACTAGTACTACATAACCACCCAGCCCTGTCACAAAAGGCGGGGTTTGGTGGCAGGGCAAGACAATACATCATCAGCACCAAATTTGGAAAATAACTTACTCGTATCAACCCAGCTGCATAGACTATGCGCCAAAGTAGAGTAGTCTTTGTATTGCATATGACATCACGACAAACAAATTACATGGAAAGTTTACTCTTCACAATGCATATTCAAGATAAAATCAGGTCATGTGATGTATTACTACACAACGAAAAAAAGGCCAGGCGCCTGCAATGACTGAGAGGTATATGCAATGCCGAGCTAAGGGCCATCAAAGAAACTCCAGATACAAATAGGAAAGCCGCTACACTTGTACAAATCTATGCATGTGCATCCTCGCACCCTCACCCACACCGTGCTGCATACACCCCGACGCGTCATTCCATCTAAAACAGAAGCACAGCACCAAAGATAGTGCTCGCAGCAACCATGCCAATGATGCGGAGGGGTACCTCGAGGCCAGCAGCAGCACCCTGGCTGTTGGCAGAGCCAGTGGCACCAGCTGTAGGAGCGCGTGTGGGCTCGCCAGATCCAGGTTGGGCCTCAGACTCGCTGGGCTCACCGGCGAAGTGGGAGCCGGAGCCAGCAAGACCGGGACCTGAGCCAGCACCTTCGTCCATAAACGCAACAGCCTTCTTGGGGATCGATGGGAGGTTGGTACCCTGGACTTGCCAGTCGTCAGACTCGGCAGGGCATTTGGAAGCACTGCCGTTCTCCTTGAAGCCGCCGTCGTCAGTGGGGTTGGGGGTGGCCTTGAGGGCCTTGGCAAGACGGTCGAAATCTGCGTTGGGCTCGATATTGCCGTCAGAACCAACCTCGACGAGACCGTAGCCGTTGGGCTCGACAGTGTACTCGTAGGCGAGACCACCAGAGTAGACACTAGTCATATTCTTGGAGTACAGAGCAGCAATCTCACCCCACTGGCGGGTGTTGGTGATGCAACCAAACTCAGACAGGAAGATGGGCTTGCTGTAGTTGCCGTATGTCTTGACCTTCTTGTCCCAGCCGGACTGAGTGAAGGAAGAAGGGTCGCACCAAGAGTAGTCGTTGAAAGCGAAGAAGTCGGAGCGCTCGTCGTCGGTACCGCAGTTGAAGTACGTGGCCTGTTGTTCAATGTTCTCAGAGACATCGGCGGCAGAGTATCCAACAGGAATGATACGGTCGTGGCGGTTAGAGATGTACTGCTTCATGTCACGGGTGACAGCCTTGATGTAGGGAGCAGCGTTGGAGTTGTTCTTTGCGTTGATGACCTCGTTTCCAGAGAAGAAGAGCATTAGGTTGTTGTACTCGGCGAAAGCATCAATCGTAGCAAAGACGGACTGGAGGTACACATCGTTGTACGAGGTGTGGAGGGTGTCGGCGTTCTCACGGTTGAGCGAGTACTTGGGGGTGTTGGCATCAAGAGCCAGGTAGATGCCGGCATCGTCAAGCATCTTCATGCCCTCATCGTGATTCTTGGAGTTGTCGATTGTGTAGATACGGACAGTGTTGATGCCGAGCTTCTTGAAGTTCTCGACATCGCGCTTGAGCGACTTGAGGTCAAGCAGAGGGTCCTGTGCGTCGGCGGCACCACCTGTGTACATGTTAGCATCACTGTAAACACCACGATCTGGCGCAATAGCATACCGGGCTGGTAGGCGACACCACGGACGTAGAAGCGCTTGTCACCGGCGAAGAAGGCATTGCCCTTGACGGTGATTGGGGTCAGGTTGCCCTTTGCGGCGAGTGCGGGAGCGACGGCGGCTCCCAGGAGGGAGATGATAAGACAGGCCTTCATAGTGGTGGGTTGAAGCGAAGATGGATTAAAACGAAGAGTAGAACAAAGCAGTTGGAAGTCTTAACGAGTGACTGGTAAGTAGGAAAAGGAATCCTCACACAAAGAACATTGAACGGAGAAGGAGGAGCCGGGATGGCAAAAGTATTTGAAGCAGGAGCACCCCCAATTTCTTGGTAACCCTCGGGTGCTACATGTGGAACTCGCCAACCCCCGTAGTTTGTCTGGCACTGATGCGCGCCAAGTCGTCGAGTGTTGGCGCGCCGGCAGGAATGGCGGATACCAAGCAGCCAAGTCCATAGCCTTGGATTAGCAAAAGGTCGCCCAGCCTTGGTCAGGGGCAACGGCGCTGTTAAGTGGCAGGGCCAGGTCCATGACGAGACTCTAATAACAAGTGAATTGCGCGTCCGCTGCCGTTCCACTCGACAACACAGCCTCGTTGAGTAAATTCAAGATTTGCCCGTCTGCAAATCCATCGTGTTGGCCGTGATGGCCCCCCTCACTTGGAGCCGCACGCGGCTTGGGGGACGATGACCATCGACGGCCACTACAGCGCATCGGGAAATTGGATGAAAAGGAATGCTTGACCATGTTATGAAGAATTGGCGACAGCACAACTACCGCGGCATGGCTTCACTGCTCTTTCGTATTGCACTGCCCATGGCACTACCGCTCCGTTGTTGTTGCTGTTGTTGGTGCTCCTGCTTGCGGCCCGGGGGGAGATCTGAACATCAGTCTAGGCGACAAAAAGAAACGCTGCGCATGTGCATGCAGCATGCGTCAACAGCTCAGCCCATTGAGTGACGGAATGGATACGTACGTTTCCTTGTACATACATATGCATGGAGATCCGCGAGGTTGGTGGTGGAGGAATGGCTGGGTTGACAGTTGTTGCGCGTCTGGGGCTTGGGTTGGGACTGGTTGGCTCCCGTACCACGGCGTTAGAGATGTTCCGCCCACCTGCCCACGCAATTATTGACTGCACAGCACCGCCGACCCCACGTGACATACCATACTACAACACCAAATCCACCCGTTATCAGGCATGCATTTGTGTAACCAGCACCCCCATACTTCTCTGACCCTTCAGCCATGTCAAGCCTTGCCCAGCGTTCTACTGAGACTGGCCTGTTGTCATCTGCTACAACAAATGACAGATGCCATTGGTTTCGGCCTTTTCTTTTATTAGACACGAAACCTCATCCCTGAGCATAGACACACCTCTGCAATGACGTCTCTTACTTTCTTTTACAACACTCTTCCCATTTTTCTCTTCTTTTACCCTCAGACCTCCCAGAGAGCCCAGCAGCTTATACGTCGTTGAATATGCAATGATCAAGCCTTTCAACACTCTCAACACTCCTCCGCTTGAGCGCTCTGCCGTCAGCAGTGGTTTGTCCAATCTTTAACGGACTGAGATCAGGATTACAGCTTATGCGCTCCGAGCCACGCTCCCAGTCTAGCTACTTCAGAAGATTGCGCACTCGAATAGCCGCTGCCGCCAGTACTGTACTACTAGCTCATAAGTCTGTTTGCGATTCGCGCTTGAGCGGCGCTGCTACAACTAATTCAATAGACGACTCTATGATCGAGCAAATTAATTCTTGCAGAGTCTGCTGCGGAGTCAACTTTGCTGAGTTCCTCCGTCGGTATGACCATGTGCACGTGCTTTGAATCGGTGATTTCCAGTACGCCCAGAGTATCTCCCGGCTCAGTAACTGGTATTGCCTCATCCGTGCGCGTCCAGGTTCCAAGACCGAGATTCTCATGTGCTAGGCGTTGCAGCTGTAAGGTGGATCCGGCTTGCCATTCGCAGTAGCTGTATGTTAGCTTTGCACTGCGCAGGCGCGGATATCGTAATAGAAGAGCGAAAAGTTCCTCCATGAATGTCGATATGAGCATCAGCGTGCTTCCTACGATAAGTATCACACCTAAGGTCCAGGCGCTGAAAGAATAGTGGTTGGGTGAGCGCATTTTCTGTAACCGCAACTATCAGTATAGACAGGCTAAGCAGGGTCATACTACACGAACCTGGCTACGACATATCCTACGGCACTCCCTTTCACGCTCGCAATATGTGCCCATTCCAAAATCAAGTCCTCTAGCATGCTCGACCATCATAGATTGTATAGCAGCAAGACTGGCGTTGTATAGGTATTCGCGTTCGTCTTGCCATCGGTCCTTCGGTATAACTGCTAACTGTAGATTACCTTGTACGGTACTGCGTGATAGAAGGGTTGGTAGACTTGGCATGAAATAATAGTCATCTAGCATGGCTTGAGTGCCAAGTGCATATACAAATGCGTTCATCGCAGATCGATCGTTTGCGTCTGGCCAGGCGCTTTTGAACAAGTCCCACCAAGACTGCCTATTCGATATTGCGAAACCATCAATGCATCCGACATTTTCGGGAAGGGTCGGATTGCAATACAACCTCTGAGTTACGCAGCCTATTACACCAACAGGTTCGTTAGCAATAAAGAAACCTGGACCGTCCATACTGATAGCCAGAGAGTTATCGAAGGGGGTCGTAGCCGAGAACCAAGGATCCTCTGTCTTGTTCACATATAAGATTTCCGAGGCATCCAGGAATACCAAGGAAACCGCCCCATCCGGTTTCTGTAGCTCTGGTATGAACTCAATACTTCTAATAAAACCGTACGCTACCATGGCTCTGCTCACAAGTTAAAATCCGCAGAAATAGTGTGCGATAAGTCTGATAGGACATACGTAACTTTATAATTGCCGTAAGCAGAAAGTTCAAGTGACGGCTTTTCGTGCCTAACGTCAACTGCAAAGATATAATCTGCGTTGCCCCCAGACCCATGTTTGTTCCCATATCGATAGACCTGGCGAGTCTGGGAGTTATTTGGGTTCACGACAGTGCCAGTGAAGCCATCTGTTTTTAAAGGCGCACAGTGTGTTCGATGGCGAAGAGTGAACTGTGGATTCTGGTTAAAGCCTAGGTGTATCTGAGAGTGTAGTACGCCTGAGTCGAGGAGGATGTTACCAACATCTGACTTGCAGATCCCCCCGGAAAATGGACACGAGGCGTTTCTGTCTGATGTAAAAGGCAATGTTGGCCTTATAAACGTTTCGCAGAGTTTATTCTGGACAGTGCTACCCCCATGGTAGCAATGCATCGCATATCTAAAGGCGTCGACAGATTTCTGACTCAGATAAAGCATGGCGGGTCCGTAGGAAGACCCTTGGTCGATCGGATTACTGTACATCCCACAATGTCGGCCAGCTATCAAAACTTCTTGATTCGAGTTTGTCAAAATTCTCGAGGAAAAAATACCTAAGAGGATCAGTCATCAACAAGCTACAAAAGCAGGTTCTATGCACGCACCAGCAGCAATAGAAACAACAGAGATAGCAGAAGCTATCAGGATGACCGGTAGTATACGCTGTTGGCTCCCTTTGGCGCGACCTCGCCAGGCATAACTGAGTCGACACAGGTCTAGCACGGCATCGAGTGCCAACGATTGATTGCGTAAGATGGCTTGCCGCTGGTGATAGACACCATCCTGCTTACCGAGGGTTGACTCATTGGCATAGACCAGAAATCGCGTAACCTTCCAGACGCTACGCGCTGTGGCAGCAATGAACAAAGCGAGAAAGGCTATGATCAGACCGCCAGCTTGAAGATCAAGTGTGAGGGTCGCGCCGCGGACTTTACCAAGTGATTGATTGATCCAAAATCCTTTGTAGATGTCTTCATCAATGGACCATGTTGGTAATGTTTGGGACATTATGAAAATGGCCCCGGGATTTCCAGATATTGAGGCTCTTAGGTGCACAATTGATCAAATGAATGCATTTAGCTGTCTCGCTGAACAGCTGAGTTGTCTCTGTTGGGCTGAGATGAATATAAGGTAAGCAGATTGTATGGCGAGTTTTTGATAAGAGGGTCGATGGTTGCACTTCAGCTGTTCATCACAGCCTCGTGCGTACTATATAAGCTCAGGAAAGCACCTGATGCAGGCTGCAGGAAGTCCTGCCATGTTTACCGCAGCTTGTTTAATCGGTACTTGACAAGTACTAGGAGTATAGTCACACTTCTAACTTTTCACCCCATTTCCATTGTTGATCAGTAAATAGACTGATTTAGTAAGTGTAGGTTGCTGCTGAAGACGTTATGCATCATAGCTGAGTATGTCAATTGGTAAAAACGCCCCTTCGAGAGGGTAGGGTGCCCCTCCCTACACCTTCATGGGTGTGCAGCATGTTCTAGACACTCGCTGAGCCAGAGTTTCTATTCCATTATTTGGTACGCGGCTGAAAGCTGATTATAGCGCAAGAACAGCGAACATGTCGCTTCCATGCAGCTGCTGAGAGTGCAGGATAGTGCCGGGCAGTGCTGGGGCAGAGCTGAACATGGCTTCTCAAAGCCACAATACTTAGCGCGGACCTGTAGTACTTACGTACGTCTCTTGACCAGGAAACCCATCGATCGTCCATTGATGAGCTTGGTTTCGAAAAAGAAAGCGCCATGCCTAGGGTGTACAGCCTCCTGGCTTGGCGCAATATGTACAGGCTTTCGTTCAATTCAAGCACTAGGGTGCTTCACACAGTGGATGCATGAATTGTAATGTCATGTCAGGACGCTCTCTGTGTGTGATGCGAGCGACACCCCCCACGTGACTGAGCTAAAAGAAGAGACCCACCCCCATCCTACACATGCTCAACGATGCTCTCCGCGGCTACATCCCGCTTCCTACGGTGCAACATTAGTAACAATCGCGCCAAAAGAATGAATCAAAATCCATTGACTGCTCGAGACGCCCGACCATAGTTTCAAATATATGCCCGCCTCCACTGCAACAACCGCGCCGCACACGCAGACCCTGGTCGCATAATCGCAGCCGACGAACCACAGGAACACTGCAGGCGCCACAACCAAAGGCCGATCGCATCTCCACCACAACCAATAGCTGCGGCGCTACTCGAAATACACAGCAAACCAGGTCAACAAGGCATACTTTTGGTGTCCACATTGTGGTATGATCCGAGTGCGGCGTAGTTGCAAGCAAAATAAATGCAGTTGAACAAAGAAGAAGGAACGAAGGAGCAGCAAGGATAGTAGTGAGATAAAGAGCAAGGAACCCACGTACTGCATATACTGAAGCTCCACGACACTTCCTACTTTTCAGCTATCACAACCTTAATTCCATTCAAACATGTTCAACCCACTCCTTCTCACAAGCCTACCCGTGCTACTCTGTCAAGCCACCTACCTCGACCCTTCCCTTCTCCAACAAAAGCCACTGATGCATGGCCTACCATCAGATACTCTATCCGATGTCACCGTTCTACCCCTCACTGTATGTCCCTTACTCCCACCTGAGAAGCATGTCCTCATCTCTATCTCACATCTAACACCGAGAACCAGCTAAACAAGCACCTCCACTACGCCTTCTCCTCCCCCACCAATAACCCCACCCCGCTATCCCGCCTCCAAAATAGCGCCGCAGTGCACGCCACACACCACGACCACTCCCGCATCAGAATAGCCATCCCCCTCGACGCCGCACACACAGGCACCATATCCTTCTCGTCAGGCGCATCATCTAGTGTACAAGACACAACCGCCACACACATGACATGGATACCCCAGAACCCCTGGGACGTAGACATGCACCACATCCCACTCCTCGATGCCGGCGTGCGCAAAGGCGGCATGATAAGTATGAGCATCGAAGCCGCAGTCTTGGATTTTAGCACAGCTTTCATCACGTTACCCACTGGGCTGTGGGATGTGATTGTTCTGGCGACACAGCCGGTGCTGAAGCCGAGTTGGGGGCAGGAGAGAGGGCAGGAGGTTATGAGTGTGGAGTGCGAGGCTAGGAAGAGGTTTCCGGATTTGGTGTTTGGGATGGAAGACGAGAGCGAGATTGTGGTTGGGCCAAAGCAGTATGTGTTGCAGAGAGGGGATGAGTGTGTGCTCCTTGTCAGGAAGGCGGAGCAGGGAGATGACGAGAGTGTCGGGCTGGGCTGGGCGGTTGCGAGGGGGAGGGAGGTGGTGTTTGATTGGGAAGAGGGGAGGATTGGATTGGGGGAGTTCGAGGGGTGAGCGTGATGGTGTTGGATGCTTTTGGCTTCATTTGGACTTGTACATGAATAATAGACATCAAAATTGTATTTAATCAAGAATCATAATCATAAACCATAAATCATACCTCATACCAACAACAAACTCAACGCCACAGCACTCGTACAAACAACCATCGTCATCCACGCAACCCTCACCCCACTCGCCGCATCCTCATCATCCCCCCCGTTACCCCCATCGCCAGCCTCCGCCGACGGATTCCCCTCCCCCCTCCCCGTCTGCTGCTCCCTACTCGTCACACTCCCCGCCACACACCTCGCCTCATCCAACGCACCGCCCTCGCCCCCAAACGCCACCCTCGCCGTCTTCTCCCACAACCCCGTTACATTTAAATAATCACTTGCCTCATACCAAACCCGACAACTCGCAGTATCATTCAGAAACTGCGTCGGCACACCCCCATTCTCCAACCCGGCGCGAATATTATCCTGAAAATTGACACCAGCATCCAGCACCGCAATGGGCGGCTGCATGGGTAGAAACGACGACCACTCTGCGAGTTCGGAGCGCGAGTCGGCGAATTGCAGGGCGACGAAGAGGGAGATGGCTTCCATGTAGACGGAGGGCAGGACTAAGGTACCTTTTGTGCCGCCGACGGAAACCATAGGGCCAGCCATTGGGCGTCCGCCGAGTGCGATGCTGCGGACACCGGATTGCTGCACCATTAGTTCGAGGAAGATTGTGCATGTAGAAGCGCAGACTCCCTCAGACAGGATAACCAGATCTTCTGCGCGAAAGGGATCGTCGGTGAAGTTACTGCGATTGTTGTACCCGGTCATCGTGATGCCGATGGCGAGACGCGTGCTGCTTGTTGTCAAGGGGTCTGAGAGGTTGTATTTCAGGAGCGAAGTGAAGTTGTCGCCTTTGAAGCGGAGGGGCGGGTACATGGAGGCCCAGTCTGGGAATTCTTCGAGTGAGGCGGAGAGGTAGGCGTCATTGCTGAAGGGGCTGGTGAAGAGTTGGCCGTTGCTCAGGGTGATTTCTTCAAAGGAGGAGATGCTTTCGCCGAAGAGCTCGCTGGCGGCGTGGCCGCGGTAGCGGGATTGCGTCTGGGGGACTTGCGAGGGGAAGAATTGAAGGTACGTGTCGTAGCCTGAGAGTACTTTGCCGCCGGGGTTGCCGCGGATGTCAATAATGTGTTTTTCTACGCCGCGGGATTTGGATTGAGAAATATATTGTTGGATTACGCGTTGGAACTCTCGTGCACCGCTGATGTCGGCGGTGTTGAATGTTTGGATGATCAAGACACCGATTTGGCCTACGTCGGTATTGATAAAGTACCCGGCGAGAGGTACATTCTCTTCTGTGTGGGCGACGAAAGGTTCGGGGTAGAACAGAGGCACCGAGCTGTGTTGTTGCATGGAGGCAGACTTGAAGTCCCGCTCGCGAGGGTTCTTGAGCTGGAGTGGCGGATCATTCATGTCCCTCTTCTTCACTCCGCCGCCAGAGCTAGTTGTAGGAATGCAGAAAGTATTGTAAAACGAGTCCGCGTCTCGGACTCTACTCCAGGCCTCAGCATCAGCGATGATAGCAGTATTCCGGTACTCGTCGGTCGTGCCGTTCTGGTAGGTAATGTTGGTAGTAGCACCAGGGAAGAAACGTGGGTTTATAAAGCTTCCGTAGCTCTCTGCTGCTGGCATGAACATCATAGCGTTATAACGCGTATCCGGGTCATGGTATGCTACCAACTTTGCCTCCTCTGTCAAAAACTTAGAAGCGTCTTGTCCATTGATCTGGGTAATAGGAGAAGGCTCGTAAGCACCGTCGGTGTTGTTAAAGTCTGTCAGTGCCCAGATCCGGGGTATTTCGCTGCCATCTCTAGACGCAGAGATAAGCGCTATCTTGCTACTTCTTCGCCATAAAAACACTCCTGCATATGCCATGCCGTACCAGGCCAGATGACCATCGTATGCTTTGACCATCAAGCTTGCAATGTCGGCTTCAAAATCGTACTCGTTGGCATACCCTCCCGACTCAGCATTACTTTTGATCCCGTCCAGTCCAGATACGATATCGACAGCCGGATTTGGGTATCCTTGGGGTGGATCCTTGAGATAGGCCAGTGTGGACTGGAATTCCACCATCTTTTTGATCTCATCGACCGTAGCAGAGGCGTCTGTTGCATAGAAAGGTAGTGACTTGAGACATGCTATCGCAAGCTCAGCTTCTACTGCTGGCAACTCTGCATTGCTATCTGAAATAGCATCTGCTATTTGTCCACAGGCCTCGCTAGTCTCAATTGGTCCCGAGATGGGTTCGATTGCGGTAGGCTCTACCTCAATGTCTCCGATTGACGTAGGCGTCGGCACTTCTGTTGGTTCGAGAATCAACGATTGTGTATTGTCAAAGGCAAAGCTGCTTGTCTGTGCCGAGACGACTGCTGCGAGCAAGCTGAACGCCGTGAACGGCTTCATAGTCGCCGGGCGAATGTCGGACCCGATGCGCCGTTATTGGGGTTTGGATACAGTCTCCGGTGTGGTTTTCAACAAGGTCCGCTTCGTAGTTCAAAGACACCAATGTTCGATATGCTTAATGGACTGTAAATTGTTTATCGTTCTCTCTCTCCCGTATTCTGTTTTGCTGGTGTTGGTATTTGATCTTAGGATCCACTTGGGCCTCCAGGATCTTCAGCAACGCGTGATTCCAGAAGAAAGGTAGAGGTCGGCAAAGTGATGAACACACTATGCAGTTCAGCGGGGAAGTATATGCATCTTTAACGCCGTATCCTTCTGCACAGCCTAGCTAGTTCATAGTTAGGTGTGCCGCCGCCTTCACACAGATGTACGTCTGCCATGCTTTAAGTCTTGGCTGCTAGGCGGCACTGTGCATGACCCATCTAGATTGCATAGTACACGCTGCACTAGGACTGGCGCATGTGGCTTGCAGAGGCACAGTCACCGACAGAGACAGCATCATGCCATATTGGTCGGAGGTGGCTGGACGAGGCTGATATGGGGGAGCGGGGATTGGATCCACGTTCGGGGTGGGCAAGCGAAGCAGTGCATTTCCTGGTTGCGGCTGAATTGTTGCGGCGGGACAAGTACGGCGCTATTGTGCTATCTGTCGCAGGGACTTACACTTTACGAGTAGTATACTGTTTGTTTCGAGGGGCCATTTGCTGTTTATTTTTACACTCACTATAGCCATTGCTATTGCGAGACTCACTGCGTACTGAAGTACAAAGTTGCTGTATTTACGTGCTGGAGAACTTTACGAGCGATACTTACACCTCGGCTACTAAGCGCCTCAAAATTCCAAGAAACAATCGCGAGTCGCCCAGCGCATAGAAGTTGTAATCTGTAAGGTTGGCTGGATGCCTCAATTACTTTGCTCCGCATAGCCTCAGTCGTACGCGTTCCTGGCTGTTGCTGGTGGTTGCACGCTGCATCCGTTGTGGGGTTCATGTGCCGTTTGGTCCGGTTTGCTTGGTGGCCTTGGAATGACGTACTCGTTGACGTTTCCAACGATCTTTACTCACGACTGAACTTCTGGAATCATAGCGTTGGATTACCTGAATGTTGATTGAAGGGTGAGAATACTGGCCGATGCATACTCCAACTACATGATGGCAGCTGATGTCTTTACCATCGCCAAGTAAAACAGCTGATCATCTATTTCTTGAGGCCTACCACCACCAAGTTGCGCGGACTATGCTTATATTCAAAAACGGGCTCAACCCATGCATGCTCAACCTCTTCCTGCTCTTTTAGCCACAGATACCGATCCGTGACCACGACGGCCTCGACCACACCAGCGCTGAAGGCCATCAGACTCCACATGACACTCAACTCCTTCTTCCTCTCCGCATATCTAATCTCATAGTCGCGAATATCGTCATCTGTCAAACCTTCCATCTTCTCCTTGATGAAGTTGGGATCGATTTCACAGAATGAGTTGTCAGCCGTAAGTTTTGCTATTGCGGCGCGAACGTATGAGACGAAATCGCTGTAGGCAAACTTGCGCAGCGTTCCAATTGTGAGAGGCGTAGTAGTGCCGTCTGAAGATAGACCAGGGCCACGGCCATTGGGCGGTGTCCAGTTTACCTGCGACGTGTGACCGTTTGCTGACACGGCACTGCCAGTGAGACCTTGATCGTGTAAAGGCGCAGAGACTACGCCGCGGTCGAGAAAGATTCGCTGAAGCAGTGCTCGAAAGAAGTGACGAGTGAAAAATAGGTCTGAGTCCACAGGACCCCAGTTGAACGGTGCTTGTACGGCCATCATGCGGGCAGTGATGTTGAGTCGAACCCCTTTGGGCTGTTCAGCTGTCTCGCCACTGCGCGGATCAAGAGGGGCATATGGAAGTGGGTGATTTGCAAGCTTTTCTGACATTGGAAAGCCGTTCGGGTCGAAAGCACTGGATGTGGATTCCAGGCGCGGATGGTTCGCACGCAGTGTAGGCAGCTTGTACGTTGGCGGACCAAGACGTTCAGTGAGCAAGTTGTAGCAACAGCCCACCATGGCTACGGCTGATATGTGATCGTTGAGCATCATGGAGCGCAGCCCATAATGCACTAGGTTACCGCATGAATGAAGAGAGATTACCATGGCGTTCACATCAGTAGGTTTGGGCACTACATCCAAGTTTGTGGCTTCAGCAACCACAGTACTGTCTTGTGTAACAGCTTCCTCGGGTACACGAGTGGTATCCAGAACCTGATCGATGACTGGCGTGAGGTCGCCATCTTTGATGATGTGCTCAACGTATTGGACACTACCGTGACCTTCATTGTATATCTGCAGCGTAGAAGTTTTGGTGGCCTCAGTTGGGGTGTTATTTGCAGATATCTCGATTGCTTGTGGAAGCACACATCCGTCGTCACATTGTGGCCCATTAGTCAGGGCTGAACTGACTGGTTTATGTTCGGTAGGTGAGCTTGACGTGATTTCATTTATCTGTGAGTCTGCTTGTGCATCTGTTCCCTGTGACAGAGCATCTGCGCCGGACGACACAGTGGAGCCATTGACATTCTCCCTGCCTTTCTTGACTTTGCCTATTTTGGCCCTATACTCCTTCTTGTTCCTCATGACAACAGGTTTAGGCACCAGCTTTGCCAACATGTCCATATTCTTGGCGCCCTCAATGTTGTGTTGCTTACTTTCCACTGCGACAATGTGCTTGGAATAGGGCGCTGCGGCGAGAGCACGTCCAAGGTAGTTCTGGCCGGACCCAAAATCTACGAGATGCGTAATGGGTTTCTTCTTAGAGGCCGCAATCTCAGCAGTCAGCCTATCAATGTAGCGTGCAAAGTTATCGACCTCGTGCACCTTCTTGACTTTCATTCCCATGGCAATATGGCGTGGTATCGCAGGCTTCCCAGCTGTGATGTTTGAGCTGGGTGGAGGAAAGTCGCGTGCCAGCAAGTGTTTCCGGACCGTTTTGATGTAATCTAGCAGCTCCTGTGGCGGTGATGGTCCATCTCGCCAATCTTCAGAGACTCCTGGTTGCTTCACATCAAACTGGCTGAGGTCCTCTCTCATGAGCAAATCCAAAATGTCCATGATGTCGCGTGTCTTGAACCAATCCCTCCATGATTGAGGCAAGATGTGCGAGTACAGATCAGGTGACCTTGTGTAAAAGTCCAAAATGTGGACACCGCCGCATAGAGTCTGGAGCAGCCATGAGGAAGTTGCAAATTCGAGCAGTGACTCGACGTATTCGTCGGTGTTTGTGAATTCGGCTGGAAGAGGTAGAGGTGTATCCGGTCCCATTGTCTCAGCCAAGTCCTCTTCGCCGACAAATCGACTCTCTCTGTATCCAAGATTTTGGTGATAGTCGGGCCATCAAGAAAACATGCTGGTGGTGTTGTGAGCAGACCGTGGGGTATTTTTTTCGGGAAGGTGGGTCCGTGCCGAGGCGTTCGTTCCAACGCGTCATCCGGCCAGGCTGTCGCTGCGCTGCGCTTCAACATTGTTCTTTGGAACTTGACCATTTCGCCCACCCAACCCCACGATTAGAATTGATAACAAGCGGCTGTCGCGTATATATATATAATGGCGTCGCTAAATGGCGAGGATCCATTCCTCCAGGTTCAAGCGTGAGACGACGCCCTATGACCCCCAATATAAGCAGCATTGTTAACTTGCAATAGCGATGTGCTCACCGCACTCGACAATGCGCGGCCATTGTTCAAGTCATTTCTGCGAATCCGGTCATCGGCGTCCTCAGCCAATAGCCCTGAGCTCCGCGAAGCCCGCAGCGAACTCGAGCAGACGCTACAGGACCTCAGCCAGGATCTCGAGGACATGGTGGAGAGCGTCAAGGTGGTCGAACACGACCCCTACCGCTTTGGGCTTGAGATTGATGAGGTCGAGCGCCGGAGAACTCTGGTCAGGGATGTTGGGTACGAGATCGAGAACATGCGCGAGGAGCTGCAGCAGACGGTCCAACAGGCCAAAAACAAGGGCAAAAGCACTGCAAACGGCGACGTTTTGCCCGACCCAGACAGTTTTGAGGACGAGGACAACTATGCTGCATTTGAACAGGAGAGGCAGATGGAGTTGATGCACGAACAGGACGAGGCGCTTGATGGTGTTTTCCGTACCGTTGGCAACTTGCGCCAGCAGGCCGACGACATGGGCCGTGAACTCGAGGAGCAGGGCGAACTGCTTGCCGACGTTGACAATGTGGCTGACCGGGTTGGTGGCAAACTTCAGACAGGCCTCCAGAAGGTCGGCCATATCATCAGGAAAAACGAAGGTATGTTGTGTGGTGCAAATGTTTATCGCAATGCTGACTATCCCTCTCAAGACTCGTGGTCAAGCTGCTGTATCGGCGTACTAATATTCGTCCTTATACTCTTACTCGTACTCCTCCTGTTCCTATGAAAGCACGATAGGAGTTTGTCTCTCACCTCGGCCCGGCCCGATGCATGTCTTCCCACATGCGCGTATGCTCAGCTTCCAGCACTTCAGAGCGCCTACTGGCTCACTTTGCGCCTGTGATATCATTATCATATCTTCCTTTTAGCCAGTCGAACCATGCATTCTACACTTGGCTAACACGAGGTGAAGTTGCTTTTCACGCACTTGACTTCGCAGCTCTATGCCTGGCGATAATGACGACGACTTCGAGAAGCTATCACAAACGTGATTTAGTCTGTCATATCAGCTACTTGGCTTAATTTGGACTATGTTATGCTCCAGGGTACTCCTCCGGTTCTTGCATAATCGCTTTCCCGACGTGGTAAAGTCGCAAATGTGCTTCACAAAGCCTCTTACCACCCAAACATGCACGAATCGCATCTAGAAGAGCTTGTATCGGAAGCAAGGCTCGATAAGAATAGAATTTGGTAGTGCTGAAGAACTGTTGCGGTTGCCAATCGTTGATGGGTACTGGCAACACCACGTTCACCCATGGGTTTCACGATCGCCAACACGCGCTGTCTCATCACCGCCCAACTCTTTAATACACTTTTATAAACAATTGGCTGGGATACCTGGCATCACACCACATCATATAGGGCTGAACTAGTCATGTTGCATACGTAGCGTTGCTTCTGAGACGCAGCCGGTGTGAGATCTTTAACACATTCATGCAAGCCTTCAAGGAAACTCACCTTAGTCATTACTTGCAGCTTCCCGTGCCGTTCAATCCTCTGCTACTACAACCAATGTATTGGCTCAAATTCAGTTGTCTCTCTCCCGCCTTCGTACGCTCCCGTTCATGTGATGGCTGGACGGGGTCGCAGCGGTAGCAACGCTGACCAGGCATCCACAACCACCACCGAAACCCACTTGAAGGGCACGCGCCGGAAGATTTCTCTTGTTTTCATCACAGTCATTCTCAATATACTGCTTTGGAGCGCTATCGTTTGCATTGCCGCATCTCTTTATCAGATCGTCTCAGATCCATTTAATACTTCAAGTTACGCCCAAGTGGCTCTAACGATAATTTCAGTATGTGATTTTCAATCTCTCAGTATGCACGATCATATACTAATATGTGTAGGCCCTAGTGACGATTGGATATACCATCTATCATTCGATTCTTTCACTCAAGCAAAAACTATGGGAACAACAACGGCGATACTCGGTCGCTATGAAAAGGAATTCTACTGTTCCTACTCGTATAGCAGGATCGATGTGTGCGCTCTGGTTGTTGACTTCTGGTTGGGACATGATACTGGTCGCAAGCACACCTGTCTGTTTGCCAATGGCACCAGGGCTTGACAGCTCGGAGTACGGCCTCACCTGTCATATTAGTCGCGTTGGAGTAGCTTTTGCGGTAATTTCACTGTAAGTAGCATCTTTGTAGGGCCATCTATATGCTAACAGCCTCACAGTGTTGCATCGATTGCCCTCTTGGGAATTCTCGCGGGGATTAGTCGTCCGTTCGAAGCGCATTTGCTCAACCATGGTTACCAGCCGCCAATCAAAGTGTACTCAAAACCCTATACTCCCGGACCATCTGATTCGGAGGTTGTCATGTATCCATCTAAGCAGCATTTCGAGAGGCCAAAGTCTTTGCATGAGATTCAAGTCTCCTATCCTTCGAACACTGATTCAGATTTGCCCAGTCCAGAGGATGCTCTGCTGCGTGCAATCATGTCACCTCCTTATACTGTGTTTTCTCCCCGAAGAGGTGTTTTCACGTCGCATCATACGCCGCCGCCCATTCCTGCCGAGTACACTGCTCCACGACGAAACTCATTACCCGGCACCTTTCGAGTAGCAAGCCAGTCACACAGATACCAAAAGTCACTTGCAAACTCGTCGCGATCTTTTGTATCTGGCGTAGTCCCAGGCTCTACACGGCAATCATTACCTGCGCACTTTTCGACAGCTACATGGCGCGTTGCCCATCCCAACCCAGCGTCACTATCACTACTGGCTCATTCTCATCCTGAAGTTGTCAACCGCAGGTTTTCCTCCTACCAGAGTCCCTATTCTCGCCATTCGATGACACTCACCCGCCCACAACGCCTGAGCTATCATTCAGCTGCTCCAAGCGTCCGTTCACAATCTGACCATACAGACTCAGATCATCGAAGTAACTCGTTATCGAGAGGCAATTCGAGCGAAATAGCGCGTGCTTTCGTGCTAGGTCTACCTATGCCCGCACCCGCCCGTCCCACCAGCCGCCCTCGCAACATCCGCATAACTACTACCCTCGACACCGGATCCTGCGAAAAACAACTCCACCGCATGAGCGCTCCCCTTCCAACTCACACTACACAAGACTCCCCAACCACATTTCCCAACCCAAACAGGCCCTACATCCGCAGCGCCTCCCCCGGCTTCCTCAGCTTCTTCAGTCCCGACACCAGTCCCGTCGACACCTCCCCTACGGACCCCAGCCCCCCAACCACCACCCTCACTCCCACCACCAAACCCAACCACAAAATCCAACGCAAACCTGTCCCGCTCTCCCGTCGCCCCTCGGAAGCCGCAAGAGCCATGTTCAGCAACATGCCCGATGACTTACCGATTCTTCCGCGATCGCCTAGATCGCCCGGTGCGACGATGCTGGTCATGATGACGCATGGGCCTGTCAAGCAGAAGAGGACGAGCGTGTATGAGGAGGTGAAGAATAAGGCCTTGCCTCGGATTGCGATTTTGTAGGTACATGGGAACGTGTGTTTGATGGAGATTGACTTTGCATTTTTTTGAGCGAGTTTATTTAGACATTGCGTGGAGTTTGGAAATGGTGGTTATGACGGCGTTGGTGGGATTTGGTTTTTTTCTTGGAACTATGTGTATAATGCATAATGACTTTCGTGTCTTCTTTCTGTTTTAGTGCGTTGCTGGAAGGAAGGAGGGGGTGTTCTGTGGGATGAGAGTGTGGGTGGGGAGGGCGGCCCGCTTGTGCGTCCGAACGACATGCGGGCGTTGTTGATGCAAGATGATTGGTGGGTCAGAGATGGTGTTTTACGTTATTGGGTTGACGCGGTTGGAGTGGGTGTAAGATGATGCGGTGGCGCGGCTTGCTGATGGCAGGGGAGACGGGGGTTCTTTTGGCTATGTTTGGCCGGAAGTGTTCTGGCCTGGAGGGAACAGTGGTTTGTCATGGGGCAAGTGAAGAGAGCCACGTTGTGTCATATGTGACAGAGATGGTGTTTAAAGATGAACGCTGTAACATGAAGGGACGATCGAACTATTCTTGCGTGACGTTCGTCGTGCTGAAACATGGCACAGATGGAGCTAGGCTGATAGAAGCCATCTTCTCTTCTAGAGAACTGAGCCAGTGTCATGCTTTGAAACATTCGAGGATACAATTCGGTTTGCTGACCCTCCACCCCCACGCTGACTATGTGAATTCACTTGTGTGTGTAAAAGTATGGTGTTGGATAGACACGCACAGCGAGCCCTATCGAGGTATCATGCGTGTTGTGAAAGGTGTCTGTAGCTCCCAAGTACGTACAGTACATTCTCGTTGCTACTACTGTCTGCCTGCTGATAGACGGACAGGCCCAGAGCGCACCTGCTGCAACTGAGTTCGTGAATCAGTCTCACGGATTCTTTAAATCCAATCCGATATCGAGGATCGGGAGGACTGATCGACGATAGTACTACCGGATTGGGCTTAGAAGATCAGTTCCACCGATCCTCGAGTTCAGTTTCGGCAGGGTTGGACTATACATATAAGTCTCGGAGTGTCGCGTGAATTGATTGTATAGTATGGGGTTTAGGTGATCTGTCCTACGGATTCTCGAATTCGGCAGGTGGACTATGAGTCTCGCAAGTGCTGTGTGAACTGGCTATACCGTGCCGGGTTAAAGGATCTATCCTCCAGATCCTCGAGTCTAAGAATAGCACTGCACCAACAGGTTCAGAAGGTACGCAGGCGAACCATTGCTACTGTTGGATTGGGTTTAGAGGATCCGTGGGATGGATCCTCTACACTTCATACGGCTTGGAGGACCAGTCACCACGATCCTCTAAGCTCAATACGGTTTGGAGAATCGGGTCGACAGATCTTCGAAACCTAATCCAGTACCGGTGATCTGCTTGGGAACCTGCAGGCGCAGCGCCAGTCTCAACCCCGAGTGTCAGCAATAGACTCAAAAAATTGTAAAAAGTGAGATGAAAGAGGATTAGATCTTGAAGGCAAAGGAAAAGAGCTCTGCTTCACACAGTGCATCCTGATAATGAACTTAAAGATAAGCAAGAAAAGTCTCCCACTTCATGCACCGTCAGATACAAACTGCACCTGTCACAGCAGCCCCAAATATCCTCGCAATCAAATACACCACCAAATCAAAGACATATCCTACACCAATGAGCTCAGAGAGCTCTACCAAGTGTGGTACGCGATGCGGTGAGAAAATTCAGGCCTCCCTCTGACGTAACGCAATGGGTAAATGTTTTCTTGCTACAGTGTGGACAGTGTGCAATAGGATCAAGAAGTCTCCTATATGCTACTACGGATATTGGTCCGTGGCTCACCACCAACACAGCACCAAGAGTTTACTAAACAAAGGAAAGTTTGATACGACAATTACACATCAACATCGCAGCTTTTCCCTAGTTGAGGCATAGGGATGATGACAGCTCAAAAAGGCAACCAGTGGCGTCTGACAGCCAAGACTAGATCGTGACCTCGACTTACCTGTTCGTGTAACATATGTAAGATCCCGCGTGGAGAACCGCGCGTCAGTGTGTCGTTATGCGTGGGTTGGACCTTGGCTCCAAGCTAATGTGTACGTTGGTTCGGGCAGATTTTCTGTGCATGCGATCGCTGCCGGGGCTTGACCTGGTATTCGGGTCGATGCTGCAAGTATCAGTGGGGGGCAGATGGGAAGATACCCAATGCAAGATGTGTTTCTCGATCCAGTAATAATGATTCCTTAACTAGAATCTGTTGGTATAAGTGACCATGGGACGAATCAACAACATCTCCTTCGCAGTGTGCTTCAATCTTAAGCACAACTAACAACACAACTGTAGCCATGAATACGACTGCTCATTAGCCCACCCCAAGCATTCTTCTCATGTCATGGAAACATCCAACGTCACTTGACTACCCCCAGTTTTTCACTGCTGATATCAGCTCAGCCTACACTAAAAACTTCATCGACATCATCTGCTCTCCACCCAGCCAACATCACCTCGAGAACCGCTGCGCCACCAACCATTAGCAAGCGGAATTCAAGAAACGTTACCAATGTTGGCGGAAATTCTCTTTCATGACAGGGACATAACAGGGCAGAGCGTAAGAAGATTGTGAGCAAAGAAACCATATAAAGCAAAGCATTTCCCACCCATATCTACAAAACATCATCTACTCAAACACCTCAGCTCATCTCAACACTCTATTGCCAAACCAACTCCCAAACTCTAACTTTCAAAATGCAATTCACAACCATCACCACCATCCTCGCCACTGCCCTCGCCGTGAGCGCCACCCCCCTCCAGCAGGACGTCACCAAGCGCCAGGAAGGCGGCGTACCTCGCGTCTACGCCCGCTTCTACAATGACGGCGGCTGCGGTCCTTCTCCCTGGGCCGAAGACACCGTCTTCATCCAATCCGAGACGGTCGGGCTGGCCGGATGCCAGAACCTGGGTGTTGGGCCATTTGCCAGCACCTTTTTTGATAACAACAACTTTAGCAGGACTGGTAAGTTCTATATGTCTACAAGATAGATATGGGGAGGAGAATTAGAAATGCTGATTGAGATTTTACAGTTCGATTCTTCAACCTTCCTTGCTCTCAGCTTACTTCTACGACGAGTGGCAACTTTATTGATATTCAACCTGGTCAGCAGCCTGGATGCCAGAACTTGGCTATTCGATCTTGGATTACTTTGTAAAGCGGCTCGCATCTTTGTTTCTTAGACGCTGAGTGCTCGGAGGGAAGGGAGGAAGCTGGGCGAGGATGAGAGCGTGGGGAGGTAAGAGAAGTTGGAAAGTGGATGATTGATGGTGGCAGAGTCGGGTCCAACACTCCGGCTAGTCTCACCATGGGTTTTATACTTTCATTGTTTCGCAGTCACTCATTAGGATAATAATAGAGATTTTGGGGACGCCCCCTCTTTTTTCTAAAACTTCTGAGTGCGGTTTTGAGAAGTGTGACATAGTTCCAAAGGGTGGTAAGGGAAATTTTAGCGCAAGATTGTGTTAAAGGTACGGAGACTCAATTAACAGTACCCGTTAGACTTGAAGCATTGCTGGAATACTAGAAAGTGATACTAAAAGACCTAGATACAGTTATCCGCGTTAAATCGCTGCCAGTTCCTATCACAATTTAGTGAGCGCTCGTTTGATTGGTCCACGATGCTGGTGTTAGTGAAAGAACTTCGTGAAAACCTGCATGTGATCCTGGTTCCGTGCCACTTTGACGCCTATCAGGCATCCTTCTGGACTCATTCGTTTGTTCCTGACAAAGGAATCCACACCGCCGCATGCCCCATCCCTGACACATAAATATTTTCCGCTCTTACCTCAATCTTTCTTTTCTTGCACCCAGTTAATCATAAAGTAATTCATTTCAAAGAAACACACATAGTCATGCGTTTCCTTTCCCTCATTATCGCCCTCAGCGGCTTCTTCATCGCCAACACCATGGCCGCACCCACCAACCCCCAGATCCCCTCTCTAGCTATTCCAAATTCTAACTCAACCACTTACGAATCTGATCTCACAGCTGTGGTGTCTTATGCTCGTTCTCACCCCACTCCAGTCCCCGCCATGGTCGCCACGACTGCTGCCGCTTCCATGAAGGCTTGCGGCGTCTACACTAAAATCGCAAGCCGCTTTACTACCCCCGCGTACATGACCGGTATGACCTGCAGCAACACGGAGGAGCTGGAGCATATGGAATACTTTTCCAATTGGTATTGCGGATTTTGTATTGTCTTCCACGGTAAGTCCAATTCCATGAGCACAAGGACAAATTTCAGGCTTGGAAGTTTGAGGCAGTTGGCTGACGTGGGTGATGCAGGTCGTGCTTGTCAGGGCGATATTCGCTGGAGTGGTGGACCGAATTTCCCACCTAACGATAAGCACCCTGTCCATGGTGCTCAGAGTTATTTCTGCTATTAGGAAGATGGGTCAAAGTCACAGGCTTCGAAAATGAGCCCTGCCTTGATTTGCTGGAGACAAGGTCGGAGACATGGCAGGATTGTTCAGGATACTCGAGTTAGTGCTGATCTAGAGGGGTATGTTTAAAGACGGTGAACCAAGTCTACACTTGCCAAGTCATGGCTTAGGAATGGTTCTCTGGAAAATGGAGAGTAAACAGGATGTATACTCCGAGATTGGTAATTGAACAGGTAGATATTTCGAACAAGATGGAACCCTACACTCAATCTCAGGGCGTTCATGCCATTTACTTCTTGCCTTTCTTCTTCGTATCACCCTCTTTACTATCCTTTGCGAAGCCACCCAATACCAGAGCCTCTCTTGCTGCGGTGTTGATGATACGAAATCGATCTGGGCCGAGCAGAATTCCACCGTACCACCGAGTCACAACAACCATTACGTTCCATACATCCATGAGCTGCATCAAGTGCAGCATGCGTGAGCCAGCAGCGGTCTCGCCATCGTCATCGCAGTCCTGATAGCTCGTGTCGTTGGGGCCCTTAATGCGCCATGCAGTCATGTTATGAGTCGCGCGAGCGGCCTTCTTGTCGGTCGCAAGAAGATGTGCAACATACTGTCTGGCCTGGGCCGGAGACGACACTGGTGCTACACGGGCTAAAAATACTGACTTCTTTTCGGTAAGAGCAGGTGCAATGACCCATGGCGGCTCCGGTCCAAGATCGACTGTTGGGTCAGGGAGACTATGAATATCGTGTTCATCTTCTACATTTGCATTTTCATGCTGGTCATGTAATTGAAGATCTCCCTGTTCTTCGGCTTGTTCCAATGCTTCTCTTGCCTCTTCAAGCAAATCGTAAATGCACGCTTCTCCTGGTTGATATACTCGTGCGAGGACGTCTCGCACTACATCAACAGCCCGGCTACCCATACCCTTGGGTACATCCTGCCCGACAGACTGAGTGCCTAGCACTGACGGAGGGGCATCTGGATAGTCTGCTGGAAACTCTATGCGCAGGGTGATTGAAGGCAGAGACGGCAGCCGCAAACTGTACAGTCTCACATGCTCATCGATGGGCGACAGAGTGCCTTCGTCGAAGATGGCGTTGAGGGAGGTGACCTCATCTTGGATGGCGTCGTTGGTGGACATAGTTGTGGTGGCTGCAACCAAATTGGTGGGGGTGGACAAGATCGGCAGGCGCGCTAGGCTTAGCGTCTTGTGCGCGCAACAGTCGTCCTGGCGGAAACTTGACTGTCGCGTTCAACTCCCTGTCTCGTCCACACTCGCCTCTCAGTCGAACCTCTGTCGCATTGCTGTTCACGTCGCCTACCATGGCTCCCAGCGATGATGCCAAGCGTGCGACAACGATACTGACGATTGCACAGTTGAAGTTCAAGCAGGCCATCAAGAAAACAGACAATGAAGACCGGCTGCCACCTGTGTCAGTGGAAATCAGCTCGCAACTCTTTAGCGGCATAGATGCTGTTCTTCAGCAGAACACGCGCGTGAACGTCCAGGTATCCTACTATGAAGCCATCGACCACATGTATCCGGGAGCAGACTAATTCGCCCACCGTAGAAATGCACAGAATGGATTGTGAAGCACATAGCTCCCTCCAAGGCCCGCATCGCTCTTCTCGGAGACTATCTGATTTCTGTCTCAAAGTCCATTGTCCTAGACTTGAACAACCCCGTAGTGGCAAAGAAGGCAGTCCGGAACCGGATGGACCTTTTACTAATTGTCAACGATGTTCTCCATACTGACAAGTTTCATCGTCGCAGTGCCGTGAAACAGGGCATATTTAGCGACGTGTGTGGCAGTTTTGTCGCTGAGCTGATCGAGCAAGCCGCCGTGTGCATGACTGAAAAGGACTCGCAACCGGAGAAGAAGCTGAAAGCCATCATCAACTACTGGGCTGTCAACCAGCTTGTCAGCGCAGATTGCCTAAAACTATGTAGAGATAGGGCAGACGAGGTACTGTCTATAGCGCATGGTGGTACGCCGGTTCGAAAGCGCAACTACCTTTTGCCCGAGTATCATGGCGATAGAACAGCCCCATGGTACGATCTCCCCGCCTCGTATATGCTTGAACCTATGATCAAGCATCCGAACCGCCCGATCGACCCTTCGCAAATCAAAATCCAGAAGCTGGACAAGAAGCCAGTCTCTCCACACGTGCGCAACCTGCTCGACAATTTCTTCGAAAAGATTGATCTCAAATACAGACCGACTGGCAACAACCCAACTGGCGAGACTGCAAAATACAAACTATCCTTGGACCCCATGGGCCAGCTGGTCAAACAGGATAAGGAGACTGGCGAGACGACAACGGTGGCAAATGGTTACGGGTGGTCAATGAAGTTTTGCCAGGATATGCAGAAGCATGGTGTTCCAGAGAATATAAAGATCGCACGGGAGGACATTGAGCGCATGGAAGGTGGTGCACAGTTTGCTCCAACCAGGTCCAAGGCTCGTGACGCACGACGCAGTCACCGATCGCCTTCATCGGATTCAGACTACAGACGAGGGCGGCGACATTACAGTCGGAGCCGTAGCCGTAGCCGCCATGGCTCGGAGTCGTCTTATGATAGCCGTCCATCACCTCGACGGTCAAGATCTGGCGCCAGGACGCAAGAACACCGCAGATCTTCCCCCAAACCAACACACAAAGGCCATGACCAATCTCGACAGCTACCAAGATCACAGGATCGAGACGGAGGCCAGCGTGAATCACAGTGGAGTGGACCAGGGGGTCAGAACAGAAGCGCTCATGGTAGTCCAGGTAATCAACCATATCAGGCTTCAGCAATGCCACCCCAAAACTTCGGGCAGCCGTACTCCCAATCGCCTCAGCCATCATTCAATGCGCCTCCCTTCCCACCACAACCGGGACAGTTTCCGATACCAATGCCGCCGTTCGGAATTCCACCACCACCTCCACCGCAATTCCAGGGAGCTGGTGCCTTCGTCCCGCCCCCTCCCCCACCAAACTACACAGGCCCGTGGCCTCCACCTCCAAATATGAGCGTACCAGCAAACAGTTCACAACATGGCAATCAGTATGGTAATAGCAACAATGGATCCTACAATCAGAACCAGGGTGGTTATCAGGGGGGACGTGGTTATGGTAGCCCGCAACGTGGAGGCTACAACAACAACAGGGGTAGTTGGAGGGGTGCTGGACGTGGTGGACGATACTGAGACTCAGCTACGTTTACTGTAATTGTACACTTGTCCGCTCTATTTGGATGTTTTAGAATCAGACCCCATTTGTGTAATGGTGGATTGAAGCAAACTGCGCTGAGCGATTGGTTTTCCAAAAGACCTCAGATTTAATTAATTTAAGGGTTCTATTTTACCTTTTTCACTCTTCATTGTAATCTTTTATTCATTTCATGTAGTTCTTATTGTGCATTCTTAAATAGTGAAATAAGTGAGTGAAACTTTCTCGGCGGTGAGGTGATGTCACTGGTGAAGGCCGACAATAGTACGCACCGGCACACAATCACGCGTCAACGCGTTCGCGTGATTTGCGACCGGGGCCAACCAACCAACGCCTGGGTAGGCCCGCCTTTACCACCATGGTTACTCATTGAATACCACCCATTGCTTGCAATATATATTTCTACTCACCATGGATACAGACTGCTCAGAGCTCACCACCAGTGGACAACGTTGCGTATAGCAATGGCGCAATCTACTACTAAGAGAAAACGCACTCAGACCAGAACGAAGCCGAACAAACGACCTAAATACGTCGATTGTAGCGATCCGAGCAGCGACGACGATTCCAAGCTCTGGGAGGCAGAGTGTATCCTTGAAGAGCGCATTGTCAAAGGAGTTAAGAAATACCATATTAAATGGAAAGGCACCGACCCGAGCACTGGAAGAGCGTGGCCAACTACTTGGGAGCCCGAAGAGAACGCAAACGACGAACTGGTGGCAGATTGGTTGCAGAAGAAAGCGCATGAATCTGGTGGCAGCAGAGGTCGCCCAAGACAACGGACAGAGGCACAGGCATCAAGGCGCATTCGCAACTTGCGGGTCATTGATAGTAGTCCGGAGTCCACTTGCTCTCCGTCCACTCCTTCCCACCACAGAGCCGCCTCAGGAAATCTATCTAGCGCTACGCATTCCCCTGTTGGTGTTGCGGCGGCCCCTGGACCAGTCTTGCGGATTTCACCTCGCATACGTATATGTCGACGTGGACAGAGTTTAGAGCGAGACGAATTCGAGCGCGTCTCTCAAATACCTTTATCACAGCCGCCCTCTACGCAAGAGCCTACGCAAGAAACCACACAGGTGCATAGTCAGGAAACCGATATCGACAGTTTACAGCTCATTTCTGCAAGGCCAGAACCATACTCATCCGGCATTGTTCCCGACTCACAGAGCTCTACTGGTCAAGCCAGCTTTATACCCATCACACAACAGATCGAAGACACCAACCAGCAGAGTACTGACTCTAGCAGAGTGCTGGAAGAAGAGGAAGACATTGCAGACGATTCGGTACGTTCACAATGTCACATGCAACAAGCGGCTTGTTTTACTTTGCTAACGGATATACACAGGGGCTTCTCGAAATCGTCCAAGGAGCGGCGTTGCAGGTCATCTCACCCACGAAGTCAATTCCAGAGACTGTAGCAGACACAACAGTTGTAGATTCACAGAGCCAGCATCAAAGAGTTGCAGCCCCCGGTGCGCTTGAACTTGTGCAAAGCCTTTCACAGGCTGGTCAAGTCACAACCCAAAACCACGGGGAATCTGAAACTGTCGAAGAGACCCATACCGGTGCTTCGCTTCCTACTGGGCAGAACATATCAAGTACTGGTTTACGGCAGGAGCTCCGGGGACACGTTTCTCAGGCACACACATCAACGGAGGCTGTAGAGAACAGTTCACTGGAATTTGTCAACATAGAAGATATTCCTGTATCACCAAGAAACCCGTCTACACTCGGTGACAGCCAGATACCTCAGACTGAAAGACGCGAGGCAAACAGCAATCTTCTACCAATTGCTACTGGTGATTCTGGTGAGGTCACGCAACCTGACGTAGTACAGCAACTCGGTAGTCACGATAATAGCCAGCCGAGCCTAGCCGAGCATCCAATTGTAGACCACGATCAGTCTCCATTCTACTCCCAAAATTTAATCCTTGATTTCACGCAACAAGCACATTCACCAAGGTTAGCTCCCGAGCCAGATTATCGCATTGCCAGGTGTAGTTTGCATCAACCTGCAGGTGTTAGTGCGACGCTAGGAGCCCAAAACAGCCAAGCGCTGCTCACTGGACCAGGTGCTCCAAACAAGACCACTTCAGATCCGTCTTACAACCCGCCACACGAACTAGTAGCATTGCCATTGAACAGTCAGGTCTGCGACAACAATTTGCCCAAACAATCCGTGACATCGAAACCTGCCCACAGCCTGTCACCTGCATCAGAAGCAGACCAGGGACCAAGTTATTGTTTAGAGGAGCGCGAGCAGAACGCGCAAGTCGTGTCTTTAGAAGCTATTCTAAGTACACAAGAAGACACGGTTGACGATATCAGAATCACTATTGAGAAGGATTACGCCGAGGATAGTGCGAACTTAGAATCACGCCACGACTCTTCACAGGAATCACCAGAGCCACCATCTCAGTCCTTGGATCACAGTTCATCTCCGGTCCCACATCCACCAAGCCACTCGGTGAGAACGCAAGAGTCACAAATCCCCCCACAGCCCTACACCCCCGTTCCAACATCATCTGCATCCAGCATGGCGGGTGAAAGCACCGCGGATATTGTCAAGCGACAGTTGGAAGAGGCCTTGGCTAAGCAATTGGCTGAGAATCCTTTCGTCCCCAGGAAACGAGCTAATAGATCATCTACTGGGGCATCTGTCTCAGTAGCTGAGGTTTCAACCACTCCACCTAAGGCGAGCAGATTGCTAAGGGCAGCCGAACAGGAAGGCACACGATCTCCCTCGGCTGTGCCAGACCGCTCGCCAGCCATGCAGGTACCCACCTCGCTAAGGACGGTTGCATACGCTCCTAGTGTACCTCAAGCGGCGTCCCCGCAGGATGAAGCCATGGCCTCAACATCGGGTGCTCATTCAGAAACCGCTGATGCCGATGCCGAAGCTGCGGCAGCCACCGAGTCCGCAGCACCAGATTTACACCCGTCTGCTGGCTCCGAAGACATGGATGTTAGCGATGCAGATGACGAGGACAGTGAGAGCCTCTTGAATGATGATCTGCAGCTTGGACAGCAAGAGTTCATCGTACCTTTGTTTATCCAAGGCCGACAAAGTGACATGTACTCTCAGCATATTGCACTCAAGAAGGATACTTTGGAGAAATTTCTTGAGGACCCCCACAGCGTGGAGCCAATTTCGCAAGTGGAAGAGATTCTGACATACCTCCGCGCAATAGAAACACACGTCGACTTGGTCTTTGCCGAGGCTGGGTCTGGGCTCTTGAACGATGAAATGTCAATGACACAAGCTGCACATGCCGCACAATTTGGCATGGAAAACTCGACAAAATTCAGGTTTTTGCATAAGCTGTTCCATGATTTACAGGATTCCAACATCCAAAAGCACATCGTGTTGGTCACTGAGAAGGACGACGATGCACTTTTCAACATTCTTGAGACCTTTTGCGAGGCGAAGAACATCAATTATAATATGCCCACTAGAGGTCACCGGACGGATCCGACAGTGCAGGGAGATTTGCAAATCACCATCATTCCGAGCAATGCATCTCCCGTGATACGCCCTGCTGATCTCATCATCTGTCTCGATGGCTTCCAAGACGCGACACAAATCCGCAAGAAGAATTGGGCCAAGTCTCCTGAACGCGAGGTTGTACCAGTAATCCATCTCGTCATTCCTAGGACTGTTGGACACATTGAGCGCTACATCGCGCCGAGTCTGGGCCCATTAGAACGTATGCATACTGTTTTGGCGAGTCTAGCGCACGTTCGCCCAGACATTGGCAAGGCTATTGATGAAAACACACCACGGGACATTGTTTGTGCATCCTTGGTTGCTGAGTGGCTCATGGACACAACAGAGGGCGCAGAGCAAAGCTGGCCAATACCATCTATTGGTAGTATCAAGGATGTCATTGAGTATCAGACGCAACTATCACAGCCCTTGGCGAACTCCCCGGTGCCTGAGCGGATCAAGCGGCCTTTGTTGGTAAGCATTGTCACCAGAAACGATTAGACCAGCATCATTAACATGTGTATAGGACAAAGAAGAGCTTGATCCTTCGAAACGGATGCGATTCACTCCTCAGCCACAACCACTTCAAAGCTCTGGTTCAGATCAGAATAATGAGACCACACGTATCAGCGATTCCATGCCTAGCACTGCAGCATATGAATCCAATCTTCAGAAACGTCTAGCTCAACTGGAGGAAATGTACCATACTGAGCGCGAAGCACGCAGAGCAGAAGAGAAACGCTTCCGCGAACATGAGGAAGCATGGGACAAGCAACAGACAGTCCACGAGAACCTGGCGCGCGAGTACCGCCTCTTGCTAGGCAAGCAGCAAGCAGCAGAGAAGAAGCTTGAAACCCTACAAAGTAGCAATACTACACTCACCGAACGCCTTAGCACCCGCACCTCTGAACTGCGCGAGCTAGAGAAACAGCTCAAAGAACAACGTGCAATGCACCTCCTCTCCCCAGACGCCCAAATGGTCGAAATAACCAAACTCCGCAAAGACCTCGCAACCGCCCACCAGGAAAAAGAAAAGGCAATAAAAAACGCCGCCACAACCGACAACATGCTCGAATACACGCGTACCGCATACCAAGACGCGCAAAAAGCAGCCGCAACAGCAAACGCACGCATCGCCGACCTCGAAGCCCAAGTCGTTAAACTCACTCACGCTGCTTCGGGGCAAGCCGCTAAACTCAAAACTATACATCTCGACCGCAACTACGAGGCCCAAGATCGAAATATCAAGGCGCTGAAAGCGGAGTTGGGCATCGTTATGAAGGCGCTGCAGAACAAAGAAGAGGAGATTACGCGATTGAAGAGTATGGGGAGACCTGGGGTGGGCACGAGGGGCACGAGTGCGACACCTCAGCCCAAGATACGGTCGCGAGCTGGGAGCCCGAGTTTGGCGGGGGGTAGGTTGTCGAATTTGAGGAATGGGTGATTGGCGAATAGGTGTTTTGGAGGGGGGTTGGGTAGTGGAAGGGGTTGATCTGGGGAGGGATTGTGGAGGAATAGAAGCAAGGGCTTCAGGATCATGATGTATATGCTTGAGTTGGAAAATTATTATCTTGTTCTGGACTACAGACTTTTTCCCCCCCCCTTGGCTACTTGTTTCATTGGAAGTATCTGTGATGTGGATGAAACTTAGGCAACTGTTGTGTCTTGTACCTCTCATCCATATAAGGGTCATGGACAAGCTCAATTCATAAGACGAATATTCATAGGCACAAACGGTGAGAA